CAGCCTTCTCCTCACTGCAACATTCATCACCCATGCTTCACACCCATATAAGAGTGTTGGTAAAACTATACTCTCATACATTCCCCTCTTTGCCCCCAAGGACAAAGTTCTTTGTCTCCACAGACTCCTAAGTGCACCCCTCACCCTTTTCCCCCCATCAATTCTATGATTACCTCCATTTTTCATAGACCCATCCGCTGACACGTCCACTCCCAAATATCTGAAAACATTCACCTCCTCCATACTCTCTCCCTCCAATCTGATATCCAATTTTCATCACCTAATATTTTTGTTATCCTCATAACCTTACTCTTTCCTGTATTCACCTTTAATTTTCTTCTTTTGCACACCCTACCAAATTCATCCACCAATCTCTGCAACTTTCTTTTAGAATCTCCCAAGAGCACAGTGTCATCAGCAAAGAGCAAACTGTGACAACTCCCACTTTATGTTTGATTCTTTATCTTTTAACTCCACGCCTCTTGTCAAGACCTCGCATTTACTTCTCTTACAACCCCATCTATAAATATATTAACAACCACGTGACATCACACATTCCTTGTCTAAGGCCTACTTTTACTGGGAAATAATTTCCCTTTTCCTATGTACTCTAACTTGAGGCACTATCCTCGTAAAAAACTCTTACTGCTTTCGTAACTACCTCCCACACCATACACCTGGCATCTGCCACATTCCCCCCCCATACCCTGTCATATGCCTTTTCCAAAACCCTATGCACAAAGACCTCTTTAGCCCTTTCTAAATACTGTTCACTTATTGTTTTTATGTAAAAAAACCTGGTCCACACACCCCCTACCTTTCCTAAAACCTCTTGTTCATCTGCTATCCTATTCTCAGTCTTTTTTTAATTTTTCAATAATAAAATTTCCCTACACTTTACCAGGTATATCAAAGACTTTCCCCCTTATTTTTGCACTCTCTTTTGCCCCCTTTTCTTTTACCCGGAACTAGCATGCTCTCTGCCAATCCCTGGGTACTTACCCTCTTCCAAAATTTTTTAAATAATTGCCCCAAACCACCCCAAAACTATATCCCCACCGTTTTTAAATTTTCTTCTTTATCCCTCAGCCCGGCTGCCTTCCCCCCTTTTTTTACCTACTGCCCACGAATTTCCCCCCCACACTCACAATGGCTCTTCCCACTCCTACAAGAGTTATTCCTCCTTGCCCTATACACAAAATTCACAGCCCCCTTCTTCTCAACTTTAACAATTTCCCCAAAATATTCCCTCCATTTCCCAATACCCTAACTCTCCATTTTAAAAACCCCTCTCCTTTTTAAATGACAAATCATTTGTTTTCTAGGCTTCCTTACTTGTTAACCTCACTCCAAAAATTTTTCTTTTTTCAACAAATTTTTGATAACATTTTACCCTCTCTCATTTGTCTCTTTTTACATTGCTTTACCCCCCTCTTAACCTCTCTCTTTTTTCCCTTTTTCTCTTCCCTCTTTGCATCACTTTTTACTTTGTAAAAACTTCTCATATGCTAACTTTTTCTCCCTTACTACTCTCTTTATATCATCATTCCACCAATCGCTTCCTCTTCCTCCCGCACCACTTTCCTGTAACCAAAACTTCTGCTGAACACTCTCTAACACTACATTTTTTAAACCGACCCCATACCTCTTCGACCCCACTGCCTATGCTCTCATTAGCCCATCTATCCTCCAATAGCTGTTTATATCTTTCCCTAACTGCCTCCTCTTTTAGTTTATAAACCTTCACCTCTCTCTTCCCTGATGCTTCTATTCTCCTTGTATCCCATCTACCTTTTACTCTCAGTGTAGCTACAACTAGAAAGTGATCTGATATATCTGTGGCCCCTCTATAAACATGTACATCTGAAGTCTACTCAACAGTCTTTTATCTACCAATACATAATCCAACAAACTACTGTCATTTCTCCTACATCATATCTTGTATACTTATTATCCTCTTTTTCTTTAAAATATGTATTACCTATAACTGAACCCCTTTCTATACAAAGTTCAATCAAAGGGCTCCCATTATCATTTACACTGGCACCCCAAACTTACCTACCACACCCTCTCTAAAAGTTTCTCCTACTTTAGCATTCAGGTCCCCTACCACAATTACTCTCTCACTTGGTTCAAAGGCTCCTATACATTCACTTAACATCTCCCAAAATCTCTCTCTCTCCTCTGCATTCCTCTCTTCTCCAGGTGCATACACGCTTATTATGACCCACTTCTCGCATCCAACCTTTACTTTAATCCACATAATTCTTGCATTTACACATTCATATTCTCTTTTCTCCTTCCATAACTGATCATTCAACATTACATTACTGCTACCCCTTTCTTTGCTCTAACTCTCTCAGATACTCCAGATTTAATCCCATTTATTTCCCCCCACCGAAACTCCCCTACCCCCTTCAGCTTTGTTTCGCTTAGGGCCAGGACATCCAACTTCTTTTCATTCATAACATCAGCATTCATCTGTTTCTTGTCATCTGCACTACATCCACGCACATTTAAGCATCCCAGTTTTATAAAGTTTTTCTTCTTCTCTTTTTTAGTAAATGTCTACAGGAGAAGGGGTTACTAGCCCATTGCTCCCGGCATTTTAGTCGCCTCATACGACACGCATTGCTTACGGAGGAAAGATTCTTTTCCACTTCCCCATGGACAGTAGAAGAAATAAAGAAGAACAAGAGCTATGTAGAAAAAGGAGAAAAACCTAGATGTATGTATATATATATGCATGTGCATGTCTGTGAAGTGTGACCAAAGTGTAAGTTGGAGTAGCAAGATATCCCTGTTATCTAGCGTGTTTATGAGACAGAAAAAGACACCAGCAATCCTACCATCATGCAAAACAGTTACAGGTTTCTGTTTCACAGTCATCTGGCAGGACGGTAGTACTTCCCTGGGTGGTTGCTGTCTACCAACCTACTACCTACTATAAAATTCATTTTATAGAGAATTACTATAGTTTTACATACAAACTAGGTCATACGAAAACCGAGTTTCCACTGTACTGTACTTGTTTACTGATGACTCAGATTTACGATGGGCTCTCTGACCAGTATGCATACCTAAATAATGTAGTATATTAGAGCTGATTTCCTCTGTTTTGTTTGTTTCAATAGAGCCTCTCCTCAATGACGGAATTCTGTTCCTAAGACGAATTTGTTGCTAAGCAAGGAGCACACACTAATGGTAGTGGGTTTGTGTCATCCATCTTTGTTATGTTTTAATGTCACCTTTGCACCATTTACAACATTTCTGGTATATTTATACAGTAGTGTACTGCATATTGTGATAAACAGAATAGAGGAAATCAGCACTAATATACAGTGGTCCCTTGATAATCGTTGGGCTCGATAGTCGTCCTTTTCGGAAATTGTCACGTTATTTTCGTCCAAACATTGGCTCGCAAATGGTCGGTTGACTCGCTAATCGTCGTTCATCCTGGACGCGTACTCACGGCTCTGAGCCCCCTTGGCCTCCCTTCCCAGCCAGTGTGCCATTGTTTACCAGTGAGCGACGGTCCCCTCACTTGTGCATACGAAATATTTCATAATATTCCATTCATTTTAGTGCTTGCAAGTGCTAAATAAGCAACAATGGCTCCAAAGAAAGCTCCTAGTGCCAAGCCTGTGGTAAAGAAGGTGAGAAATATGATTGAATTTAAGAAAAACATCATTGAACAATATGACAGTGGCGTATGTGTGGCCAAACTGGCCAGGATGTATAACAAACCCCATACAACCGTATCTTCCATCATGGCCAAGAAAAAGGAAGTTGTTGTTGCTTTGAGAAAATTGTGGTCAGATTGTGTCCACAAGAGGGATTTTGAAGGGTTTGTGGCTGACCCTGATGAGCCTATGTCTGTTGTGAAATCTATTGTGGCACTGGGGAGTTCCATGGGGTTGGATGTGAGTTTGCAGGATGTGGAAGAGTTGGTGGAGGACCACAACGAAGAGCTAACCACTGAGGAGCTGCAAGAGCTTCAGCAGGGACAGCAACAGATTGCAGCTCAGAATCTTGCTGCAGAGGAGGAGGAAGAGAGAGATGGAAGAAGGTGCCTTCTTCAGAAATTAAGGAGATTTTTGAAATGTGGGGTAAGATGGTAAGATTTATGGAGAAACATCACCCTGAGAAGGATGTTGCAAGCCATATCAGCAACTTGTACAGTGACAGAGTTTTGGCCCATTTTAGGGAAGTTTTAAAGAGACACCAGAAACAGAGCTCTCTGGACAGTTTTTTTGCGAGACAGGACTCCAGTGACTCTCAAGCTGGTCCTAGTGGCATTAAGAAACAGAGAAGTAACCCCAGAAAAGCACTTGGTACCTGAGGTGTTGCTGGAAGGGGATTCCCCTTCCAAACAGTAAATAATCCACTCTCTCTCCTCCTCCAGTCTCCCATACACTAAGAAGAATCACCAATAAAGGTAAGTGTTATGCTGTTAATGTTTTATTCATCATGTGCCATTGTATTGTTTATGTACTACATCTATATTTCATGTAAAAATTTTGTTTGTTTTAATACTTCTGGGTGTCAGGAACGGATTAATTGTATTTACATTATTTCTTATGGGGAAAATTGATTCGAAAATCGTCTATTTCGATAATCGTCGCACTTCCAGGAACGGATTAACGGCGATAAATGAGGGACCACTGTACATTATTTAGGTATGCATACAGGCCAGAGAGCCCATCGTAAGTCTGAGTTGTCATTAACAAGTACGTCAATAAATGAGGAGACGCTGTACACAAATAACCCGCACCTAGAAGAGAAAAGCTCATGATGATGTTTCGGTTTGACTTGGACCATTTAGAAGTTACACAATTGGACTTGTAAACATTATTGGACTTGTGAAAAGTCCAAGTCGGACCAAAATGTTGTAATAAGCTTTTCTCTCCTATCTGTGGGTTATTTGTGTATACACACTAATTAACTGATCTTCTATTACTGTAAAGGATGGGTAATGAAACAGTGTTGTATTCTCAAAGGTTCACAACCGTCTGGCCAGGAGGAAAAGAAGTCTCCAGTGGTTATCTGCCTTGACTTACCAGATGAATCTTGCACCATCTACAAAGAAATTAGCAACGTTCCTGAAAACTCCCAGAAGAAAATGAGAAACGAAGAGTCCATGGTAAGTACTGATGTTGTGCAGGTGATGTCCCCTCAAGGGAGGTTCCTTGATGCTGGTTAGGGGCCCTTGATCTAGGGAATTGGATCTGTGCTACGGTTCCCTGAATTGAGCCTGAATACCTTCCATTCCCCCCCCCCACATGCACTGTATAATCCTACAGGTTTAGTGCTCCCCCATGATTATAATAATGTGCAACTGATGAGAAGTGGCATGTGCAATGAGGACCCCAGTTGAAATACGTCACTTTGACGTTTTTGGGTTATCCTGGTGGGTAATTTACACGTGCCACTATGTATGATAATTGTACTTATATGTGTGTGTGTGTCTAAATAAGCTTACTTAACATGACGAAACATTTTGTCTGGGCTGTGGGCTTTATCAGTTATGATAAGTTTTGTTGAGAATTTTAAAACGGAATATTAACCACCCAGGATAACTCAAGAAAGTCAGTGCGTCATCACAGACTGTTTTATTTCCATTGTAATCCTTCAGTCTTGTCCCCCAGGATACCACCCACTACAGTCACGTAACATCCAGGCTCAACTTACTGCTAGGTGAATGGGGACAGCAGGTGTAAGGTGACTGGCACCCAGATACCTACTTACCACTAAGTGAACAGGGACAGCAGGTGTAAGGTGACTGGCACCCAGATACCTACTTACCACTAAGTGAACAGGGACAGCAGGTGTAAGGTGACTGACACCCAGATATCTACTTACTGCTAAGTGAACAGGGACAGCAGGTGTAAGGTGACTGGCACCCAGATACCTACTTATGGCTAAGTGAACAGGGACAGCAGGTGTAAGGTGACTGGCACCCAGATACCTACTTACAGCTAAGTGAACAGGGACAGCAGGTGTAAGGTGACTGGCACCCAGATACCTACTTACGGCTAAGTGAACAGGGACAGCAGGTGTAAGGTGACTGACACCCAGATATCTACTTACTGCTAAGTGAACAGGGACAGCAGGTGTAAGGTGACTGGCACCCAGATACCTACTTACAGCTAAGTGAACAGGGACAGCAGGTGTAAGGTGACTGGCACCCAGATACCTACTTACAGCTAAGTGAACAGGGACAGCAGGTGTAAGGTGACTGGCACCCAGATACCTACTTACAGCTAAGTGAACAGGGACAGCAGGTGTAAGGTGACTGACACCCAGATATCTACTTACTGCTAAGTGAACAGGGACAGCAGGTGTAAGGTGACTGACACCCATATATCTACTTACTGCTAAGTGAACAGGGACAGCAGGTGTAAGGTGACTGGCACCCAGATACCTACTTACCACTAAGTGAACAGGGACAGCAGTTGTAAGGTGACTGGCACCCAGATACCTACATACCGATAAGTGAACAGGGACAGCAGGTGTAAGGTGACTGACACCCAGATATCCACTTACTGCTAAGTGAACAGGGACAGCAGGTGTAAGGTGACTGACACCCAGATATCCACTTACTGCTAAGTGAACAGGGACAGCAGGTGTAAGGTGACTGGCACCCAGATATCTACTTACTGCTAAGTGAACAGGGACAGCAGGTGTAAGGTGACTGACACCCAGATATCTACTTACTGCTAAGTGAACAGGGACAGCAGGTGTAAGGTGACTTGCACCCATATACCTACTTATGGCTAAGTGAACAGGGACAGCAGGTGTAAGGTGACTGGCACCCAGATACCTACTTACGGCTAAGTGAACAGGGACAGCAGGTGTAAGGTGACTGGCACCCAGATGCCTACATACCGATAAGTGAACAGGGACAGCAGGTGTAAGGTGACTGGCACCCAGATACCTACTTACGGCTAAGTGAACAGGGACAGCAGGTGTAAGGTGACTGGCACCCAGATACCTACTTACGGCTAAGTGAACAGGGACAGCAGGTGTAAGGTGACTGGCACCCAGATACCTACATACCGATAAGTGAACAGGGACAGCAGGTGTAAGGTGACTGGCACCCAGATACCTACATACCAATAAGTGAACAGGGACAGCAGATGTAAGGTGACTGGCACCCAGATACCTACATACCGATAAGTGAACAGGGACAGCAGGTGTAAGGTGACTGGCACCCAGATACCTACTTACCACTAAGTGAACAGGGACAGCAGTTGTAAGGTGACTGGCACCCAGATACCTACTTACGGCTAAGTGAACAGGGACAGCAGGTGTAAGGTGACTGGCACCCAGATACCTACTTACCACTAAGTGAACAGGGACAGCAGATGTAAGGTGACTGGCACCCAGATACCTACATACCGATAAGTGAACAGGGACAGCAGGTGTAAGGTGACTGACACCCAGATATCTACTTACTGCTAAGTGAACAGGGACAGCAGGTGTAAGGAAACATACCCAACATTTCTACCCATACTAGGGATTGAATCATGGACACTCAGTGTGTGAGGCAAGATCATTGCCTTCCTGGAGAAATTAACCTTGGGGGAAATAAATACGTTTATTTAGGTACAATATACAGTTACACAAATTACTGTATGCAGAATAACCACTGTGAAAAAATAGTGAAATTCCAAGTGCTTTTGTGATTTTTCACACGAGAGGTCACAAAAGTGCTTGAAATTTCACTATTTTTTCACAGTGGTTTTGTTCTGCATATTGTGGAATATAAATTATATATATATATATATATATATATATATATATATATATATATATATATATATATATATATATATATATATATTATTATATTTATATTGTGGAATCACCTATTTACTGTGATTTTATTGCTCAAATTTTTGTACATACTAACATATGTTCAAATTATCCACTAGGATAACCCAAAAAAGTCAAAGGTGCATTTTTCCAGTGGGGTCCTCATGGAAGATCAAGTTGATGAAATAAACTGATGAAACCTAAAGCTCAGATGAAATATTTCGTCATTAAGGATTCCTAGTGTTGCATATGTGCTGCATGTGTGTCCGAGCAGTAGCCTGGAACCTAACCTGCTGGTTAAGCAGGGTTCTCCTGTACAGCAGTAGCCTGGAACCTAACCTGCTGGTCAAGCAGGGTTCTCCTGTACAGCAGTAGCCTGGAACCTAACCTGCTGGTTAAGCAGGGCTCTCCTGTACAGCAGTAGCCTGGAACCTAACCTGCTGGTTAAGCAGGGTTCTCCTGTACAGCAGTAGCCTGGAACCTAACCTGCTGGTTAAGCAGGGCTCTCCTGTACAGTAGCCTGGAACCTAACCTGCTGGTTAAGCAGGGTTCTCCTGTACAGCAGTAGCCTGGAACCTAACCTGCTGGTTAAGCAGGGCTCTCCTGTACAGTAGCCTGGAACCTAACCTGCTGGTTAAGCAGGGTTCTCCTGTACAGCAGTAGCCTGGAACCTAACCTGCTGGTTAAGCAGGGTTCTCCTGTACAGCAGTAGCCTGGAACCTAACCTGCTGGTTAAGCAGGGCTCTCCTGTACAGCAGTAGCCTGGAACCTAACCTGCTGGTCAAGCAGGGTTCTCCTGTACAGCAGTAGCCTGGAACCTAACCTGCTGGTTAAGCAGGGTTCTCCTGTACAGTAGCCTGGAACCTAACCTGCTGGTCAAGCAGGGTTCTCCTGTACAGTAGCCTGGAACCTAACCTGCTGGTCAAGCAGGGTTCTCCTGTACAGCAGTAGCCTGGAACCTAACCTGCTGGTTAAGCAGGGTTCTCCTGTACAGTAGCCTGGAACCTAACCTGCTGGTTAAGCAGGGTTCTCCTGTACAGCAGTAGCCTGGAACCTAACCTGCTGGTTAAGCAGGGTTCTCCTGTACAGCAGTAGCCTGGAACCTAACCTGCTGGTTAAGCAGGGTTCTCCTGTACAGCAGTAGCCTGGAACCTAACCTGCTGGTTAAGCAGGGCTCTCCTGTACAGTAGCCTGGAACCTAACCTGCTGGTCAAGCAGGGCTCTCCTGTACAGTAGCCTGGAACCTAACCTGCTGGTTAAGCAGGGCTCTCCTGTACAGCAGTAGCCTGGAACCTAACCTGCTGGTTAAGCAGGGTTCTCCTGTACAGTAGCCTGGAACCTAACCTGCTGGTTAAGCAGGGCTCTCCCGTACAGCAGTAGCCTGGAACCTAACCTGCTGGTTAAGCAGGGCTCTCCTGTACAGCGGTAGCCTGGAACCTAACCTGCTGGTTAAGCAGGGCTCTCCTGTACAGCAGTAGCCTGGAACCTAACATGCTGGTTAAGCAGGGTTCTCCTGTACAGTAGCCTGGAACCTAACCTGCTGGTTAAGCAGGGCTCTCCTGTACAGCAGTAGCCTGGAACCTAACCTGCTGGTTAAGCAGGGCTCTCCTGTACAGCGGTAGCCTGGAACCTAACCTGCTGGTCAAGCAGGGCTCTCCTGTACAGCAGTAGCCTGGAACCTAACCTGCTGGTTAAGCAGGGCTCTCCTGTACAGCAGTAGCCTGGAACCTAACCTGCTGGTTAAGCAGGGCTCTCCCATACAGCAGTAGCCTGGAACCTAACCTGCTGGTTAAGCAGGGCTCTCCTGTACAGCGGTAGCCTGGAACCTAACCTGCTGGTCAAGCAGGGCTCTCCTGTACAGCAGTAGCCTGGAACCTAACCTGCTGGTTAAGCAGGGCTCTCCTGTACAGCAGTAGCCTGGAACCTAACCTGCTGGTTAAGCAGGGCTCTCCTGTACAGCAGTAGCCTGGAACCTAACCTGCTGGTTAAGCAGGGCTCTCCTGTACAGCAGTAGCCTGGAACCTAACCTGCTGGTTAAGCAGGGCTCTCCTGTACAGCAGTAGCCTGGAACCTAACCTGCTGGTTAAGCAGGGCTCTCCTGTACAGCAGTAGCCTGGAACCTAACCTGCTGTATCAGCAGGGCTCTCCTGTACAGCAGTAGCCTGGAACCTAAACTGCTGTATCAGGGCCCTCCTGTACAGCAGTAGCCTAGAACTTAACCTGCTGTATAAGCAGGACCTTCCTGTATAGCAGTAGCCTAGAACTTGACCTGCTGTATAAGCAGGACCTTCCTGTACAGCAGTAGCCTAGAACTTAACCTGCTGTATAAGTAGGGCTCTCCTGTACATAATTAATAAGAAAGATAAATCAAGATAATTTAGGTTTTGAAAGGATATAGGAAAGCACTGGTTGTGGATAAGTGGAACAGACTCCTGAGTAGCGTCATTGAAGCTAAAACCTTGTGTAGTTTTAAAAATAGGTTGGACAAATACATGAGTAAGAGTGGGCGGGCATGAGTTGGACCTGACTAGTTTGGGCCAGTAGGCCTGCTGCAGTGCTCCTCTCTTACGTTCTTACATTAACCAAATTAATTCATTTTCACTTTCAGGGCGGTGATGTCTCGGAGACCCAGAAACTTGACGTTTCGATTAAAGCAAAGGAGGGTAGGCATTATTTAAGTTTGTAAAAATGTGTTTTCAAGTAGGTTGTCTTGATACTAGTATAGGGCTTTTGATCCTAGGAAATAGTGTCAGTCTCCCCATTTGCAGATTAAAACTCATTAACGTATATTTCCCATCGGCTCTGTGACACATTGTGAATATAATATTAAATATATTAAATATTAAATGTTGATTTGATGTGCTGCTGGAGTGCGAGGTAACATGAAGGGATTCAGGGAAACCGGTTGGCTGGACTTGAGTCCTGGAGGTGGGAAGTACAGTACCTGCACTCTGAAGAATGGGTGGAGATATATTTCAGTTTTTTAACTGTAGTGTAGGTACGCTTCTGGCAAGACAGTGATGGAGTGAATGATGATGAAAGTGTTTCTTCTTTATCGGGTCATGTATTTTTGTACTTAACCCGTAAACGGTCCAAACGTATATATACGTTTTTTCAACATTTGAAAGTACAGTGGACCCCGCATAACGATCACCTCCAAATGCGACCAATTATGTAAGTGTATTTATGTAAGTGCGTTTGTACGTGTATGTTTGGGGGTCTGAAATGGACTAATCTACTTCACAATATTCCTTATGGGAACAAATTCGGTCAGTACTGGCACCTGAACATACTTCTGGAGTGAAAAAATATCGTTAACCGGGGGTCCACTGTATGTAAAAAAAGTAGATTTTTTGTTTTTTTACATTTGAAAATGTGTAAAAAACTTTGATCTACTTTTTTTTTTGTTATATTTGAAAATATGTAAAAAAAAAACGTAGATCTACTTTTGTAGCACTACGCATGTGAACGTAGATCTGCTGGGACCGTTTACGGGTTAAAATATATTAGCATTTTTATTTTTCTTAAAAATTTGCCATAACACCAAATTAGTCTGAATATTTGTGCTCTATTTTATTTTCATTTATGACTTTTGGGCGGGGATAAAATATAGCTGAAGAGAGAGGAGTAAAGCAGTATGTTATTTGATATTGTTTTGCTCCATGTAAAGCTCTGTCAAGTTAATACCTTTATAAAGCTGTATATAGAACAAGACTTCACAGTGAGAGTTTGGCACATGTGTCTTTATTCTCAGCAGCACTGTCATAGCCTGGGTATTAAATAATTGTATTAAATGAGAAAGGATGTGTTGTATAATATTATTATCTAATTGAAGGTGTGTGGCGCTCAGGCCGGGTGAGAAAGAGATCTTCGAAGCTCGCTGACTTTGCATCGACAGCGGAAGTTGACGTTCTCTTCCGGCAGTATTCCGATGGGCCAGGAAGCTTGCACAACGACTCAAATGTCAGTCTCATTTAAATTTTGCTCTTGTCACCAGTCAGACTCTTAGAATAATAATAATAGTAATAATAATCATTATTTTTACAAGTACATGATACAACTTATAGAGACCATAGCTGACATCACTGACATACTATATAAAAAGTCCCTGGTTATGCAGAGCATTTCAGGCAAGTTCGGTTGATTTTGTCTCTTGCATGCGACCCATATCAGTTAGCTAACACCCATGTACCTGCTTACTGCTAGGTGAACAGTGACAGCAGGTGTAAGGTAACTAACACCCAGGTACCTACTTACTGCTAGGTGAACAGTGACAGCAGGCATAAGGTAACTAACACCCAGGTACCTACTTACTGCTAGGTGAATAGTGACAGCAGGTGTAAGGTAACTAACACTCAGGTACCTACTTACTGCTAAGTGAACAGTGACAGCAGGTGTAAGGTAACTAACACCCTGGTACCTACTTACTGCTAGGTGAACAGTGACAGCAGGTGTAAGGTAACTAACACCCAGGTACCTACTTACTGCTAGGTGAACAGTGACAGCAGGCATAAGGTAACTAACACCCAGGTACCTACTTACTGCTAGGTGAACAGTGACAGCAGGTGTAAGGTAACTAACACTCAGGTACCTACTTACTGCTAGGTGAACAGTGACAGCAGGTGTAAGGTAACTAACACCCTGGTACCTACTTACTGCTAGGTGAACAGTGACAGCAGGTGTAAGGTAACTAACACCCAGGTACGTACTTACTGCTAGGTGAACAGTGACAGCGGGTATAAGGTAACTAACACCCAGGCACCTGCTTACTGCTAGATGAACAGTGACAGCAGGTGTAAGGTAACTAACACCCAGGTTTCTACTTACTGCTAGGTGAACAGTGACAGCGGGTATAAGGTAACTAACACCCAGGTACCTACTTACTGCTAGGTGAACAGTGACAGCAGGTGTAAGGTAACTAACACCCAGGTACCTACTTACTGCTAGGTGAACAGTGACAGCAGGTGTAAGGTAACTAACACCCTGGTACCTACTTACTGCTAGGTGAACAGTGACAGCAGGTGTAAGGTAACTAACACCCAGGTACATACTTACTGCTAGGTGAACAGTGACAGCAGGTATAAGGTAACTAACACCCAGGTACCTGCTTACTGCTAGGTGAACAGTGACAGCAGGTGTAAGGTAACTAACACCCAGGTACCTACTTTCTCCTAGGTGAACAGTGACAGCAGGTGTAAGGTAACTAACACCCAGGTACCTACTTTCTCCTAGGTGAACAGTGACAGCAGGTGTAAGGTAACTAACACCCAGGTACATACTTACTGCTTGGTGAACAGTGACAGCAGGTATAAGGTAACTAACACCCAGGTACCTGCTTACTGCTAAGTGAACAGTGACAGCAGGTGTAAGGTAACTAACACCCAGGTACCTACTTACTGCTAGGTGAACAGTGACAGCAGGTGTAAGGTAACTAACACCCTGGTACCTACTTACTGCTAGGTGAACAGTGACAGCAGGTGTAAGGTAACTAACACCCTGGTACCTACTTACTGCTAGGTGAACAGTGACAGCAGGTGTAAGGTAACTAACACCCAGGTACATACTTACTGCTAGGTGAACAGTGACAGCAGGTGTAAGGTAACTAACACCCAGGTACCTGCTTGCTGCTAGGTGAACAGTGACAGCAGGTGTAAGGTAACTAACACCCAGGTACCTACTTTCTCCTATTTGAACAGTGACAGCAGGTATCTTAAGAAAATGCATCCTAATGTTTCCACCTTCACTGGAGATCAAACCGCAGTGAGCTGAGTGCACTACCAACCCAGCCGTGGGCTCATGACTCAAGGCTCTGCAGCTGTCCTCCTGACATGCTAATGGCTTTCTTTGTGCTTAACAGTACAGTGGACCCCCGGTTAACGAACTTTTTTCATTCCAGTAGTATGTTCAGGTGCCAGTACTGACCGAATTTGTTCCCATAAGGAATATTGTGAAGTAGATTAGTCCATTTCAGACCCCCAAACATACACGTACAAACGCACTTACATAAATACACTTACATAATTGGTCGCATTTGGAGGTGATCGTTAAGCGGGGGTCCACTGTATTTTATTACATGTAAACTACATTTTGTTTACTGCAGAAAAGAAATAAACCTGTATGTATTATAATTCTGATCAGCCCTGACTCAGGAAACCATATTAACAAGATTGCAGACAAATCACTGAACGGACAGGGATTGAACCCATCCCGTAGAATCCTAGAGGGACTAGTACCGAACTTGCACACGAAAATCACTCACTACGAAAGCAAAAGACTTGGCAGACGATGCACCATCCCCCCAATGAAAAGCAGGGGTGTCACTAGCACGTTAAGAGACCATACAATAAGTGTCAGGGGCCCGAGACTGTTCAACTGCCTCCCAGCACACATAAGGGGGATTACCAACAGACCCCTGGCAGTCTTCAAGCTGGCACTGGACAAGCACCTAAAGTCAGTTCCTGACCAGCCGGGCTGTGGCTCGTACGTTGGTTTGCGTGCAGCCAGCAGCAACAGCCTGGTTGATCAGGCTCTGATCCACCAGGAGGCCTGGTCACAGACCGGGCCGCGGGGGCGTTGACCCCCGGAACTCTCTCCAGGTAGAGTTTTAGAAGTCATAATCCAATCTGTTATTCTTACAACAATTAAAATAGATTAATTCATTATTCATTAACACCTTAATGTTAAGCAGTTCTCTCGCATTTTCAGAGTTGATGACCCCTTAGAGACTGCGTACATATAAGCAATTAGTTATTGCCTTATTAATCTTAAGTTAGGCTTAAGTTTGCCTAAAATGCTCTGCATAACAAGAATAATAATAATAATATTTTGACATGATACGTGTTTGTACAAAGGAATACATGTATATGGTTAGGTTTACATGCCAAAAGCCCCTTTATATGCAGAGCATTTTAGGCAAACTTAAAACTAACCTAAGTTTAACCCGTAAACGGTCCAAGCAGATCTACGTTCACATGTGTAGTGCTACAAAAGTAGATCTACGTTTTTTTTACATATTTTCAAATACACCTACCATCTGACTTACGACCGAGTTCGGTTCCGAGAAACCGGTCGTAAGTCGAAATGGTCGTAAGTCAAACTTTACTACTGAATATCAACAAAACATTTTTGTAATGACTTTATTTTATTGTTTTGTTTTGGTATTTCATGTTTTACTTTACTTTTTATGTTGTTAGTACTGTGTTTTATACTGTAAGGTTTAGCATAAACACTGTGCACAACACAAATACTGGTTTATTTCCCAGAAATTTGGCATAAAAAACACGGTCGTAAGTCGAGTGGTCGTAAGTCGAGCAGGTCGTAAGTTGGATGGTACGTGTATAACAAAAAAAAAAGTAGATCAAAGTTTTTTTTTACACATTTTCAAATGTAAAAAAACAAAAAGAAGATCTACTTTTTTTCCATACTTTCAAATGTTGAAAAAATGTATACAGTAGGGCCCCGCTTTACGGAGTTTCGATTTATGGCGTTTCGCTAATACGGTCATTTCAAATTCTGACCAATACTCGCTATACGGCTCCCCCCACCTGACTTTCTAATACGGTCACCGCGCCCCACCCGGTTTGTTTACATTCTCTGTGAGATCTGTAAGCACTAAGTCTCTCCATTATGTCTGGAAACTCCACAATTTTAAGTGTTTTTAAAAGTTATTTCATATTTTATATATACTCTGGTAATTATACTTATGTATACCTGCACTTAAATAAACTTACATACTGTGCTGGCGTGCAGGTACACATTAACCCCTTCAGGGTCCAAGGCCCAAATCTGAAGTGGTGCCCCAGTGTCCAAGAATTTTCAAAAATAAAAATTTGTTATTTTTTCTTATGAAATCGTAGAGAATCTTTTTGTGAAGGTAATAAAACAAAAAGTACGAAATTTGATGGAAAATTGACGAAATTATGCTCTCGCGAATTTTGATGTGTCAGCGATATTTACGAATCGGCGATTTTGCCGACTTTGACTCCCATTTTAGGCCAATTACATTATTCCAGTCAACCAAATTCTTAGCTATTTCACTAGTATTACTTCTATTCTATCGATTGAGCACAAGAAATCACCAAGTCAACTGTTTCAACTACAAATGAAAGTGATCGGAAATTGTTAATTTGGCCAATTTAACACAAAGTTCAAAATATTCCAATTTCAAAATAGGGTCCAGAATAAACAATGTAGGTATTCTTGGCACTAAACTAACATTTCCTCTGTTCATTAGTTACGTTTTGAGGCTTTACAAATAAATTCCATTTTGATTTTTTATTCACATAATGAATTTTTATTCACACCAAAAAATAGAAGATTTACTGTTATGCAATATTGTAATAATTGTATAAATATCATCACCATATTTGTGAATGTATATTAGACCCACCAGCTGGCGTGTATTAGATTTGTGAGGTCGTTTGTTTACTCTTGAATATCGGCAAAAATTTAACATTTCTGCTACTTTGAGCTCAGTTTCAAGCCATTTCCAGTGCTAAAACCAATCAAAATCATCTCTATTTCTGTAATATGTCTTCCATTCTATCAAATGAGACCAAGAAATCGCAAATAGAACTACAAAAAACATACGAAAAAACACTGCAAAGTCGCTGTTTTAATCGAAAAATCATGATTTCAGTTTTTTTCTCTCATTATACACAACGTGCTGCAGGATCTGTTTTATGTGGTGCACACATACCACATAGATGTATTCTCTCATATCTAGGCCCAAATGTACCACTCACAGTTTATCAGAGTGAGCTGAGCTCATGACGTAGATCTACGGTTTGGACCCTGAACGTAAAGCTGTAGATCTACGGGACGGACCCTCAAAGGGTTAAAATCAGTAAGAGTGTTTTATGTCTCCAGACGTCATATTAGTAATGATAATAATAATCACCGAGTCTCATTTAAATGTCGTATATTACGTTAATATACACATTTTCATTAATCCATCTATGATATTTTTTCAAAATTATATAATAAACACGATGCATAACATATAAATATGATCAATACACCCCACAGTAGAATAAATAAACATAAATATGAGATGTGCTAGCAGAAGACTTGCACAAGTGATGCCATATTAGAAATAATAATAATAATAATCACCGAGTCTGATTAAATATCGTATATTACGTTAATATACACATTTTCATTAATTCATCCATGATATTTTTTTTCAAAATTATATAATAAACATGATACATAACATATAAAGATGATAAATACACCCCACAATAGAATAAATAAATGTAAATATGAGATGTGGTAGCCAGGTAACTTGTACAAGTGATGCCAAGAATAACATTTTCTCTAATCTAACATAAGAGAAAACGTGTTACTGGGGGTAACTGTAGAAAATTATTCCTTTTGTATATATGTAAGTAAGTTTATTCAGGTATACACAAATACAGTTACATAGATTATCATACATAACAGCATATGTGTAGAGAACCTAGGATAACCCAAAAAAGTCAGACAGAGTGACTTATTACCATTGCCTTCACTCAGAGCATCATTTCTTCCCAAAATGATGTTACATGAGAATGGGAGTGTTCTTTATTTATTCTACCGTATCAATGTAGAGACAACCTGTACACAATGTAACTTGTACACAAACCAGACGTGTACACTTTGTTTACAAAACTTACCTTCGCCTGGTTTGTTTACATAACTCTGCGCCTGTCATCTCTCATGTACTCATTCTTTCTCTCTCTCATTTATTCATTTTATCTCATTTACTTACTCCTGACTCTACATTAAGATTACAAATATTTTAAGGTAAGTGTGAAGGCTTACTCAGCCCTGTAACAACTTCAGACAGTATTACTCAGGCTGGCTCCTCCTCAGGAAAATTAATGAATAGAAAAAGAAATAATAATTCACAAAGATAAACACTTTATTATTTATTAAATCAAACATAAAACAATAAAACATGAAAGGTATATCCTATTTGAAAGAAAAATGAAAAATGAAATGAATAAAATAACATTTGAACTCAACGCTAATATCTACAGGGGTGTCTGGTGTTGGTGACACTGTTGTTGAAATCGTAGCCGTTGCTGATGATGGGGTGGGGGGGGGTCGCAGGTGTTGGTGACCATCCACTGGCTAGTTCTTCACAGTATACCAGTGAGTAATCTCTCCCGATGACAGGAAAGCAGGTTCTTTACCGCTGCAATGATGTGGGGTTACGTCCTGCAATTTCATACAGGTGCACAGGTACTTAAATGCAAAATGGGGAAGTCTCTGGATGTTAGTCCTTCTCCTGTTCTTCTCGTTGATTGACAGGTGACCCTCACTGTCATCCAAGCTGAAAAGATAGACAGGTTACCCACTGCTTAAATAATCACTCTCCATGGCAGTGTACAATACTCAAAAGACGTGGTGATTATTACAACAGTCAACCTAGAGCAAGACTGAAAGGACTAAGTTTATTATTGGTCAGAAGTGAAGCTTTTAACCAATAAATCCACTAGAATACAAGGCAGGCATGTACTTACAGTAGTGTTGGGAGCTGTGAGTCGAGTGATTTACTGTTTGACCAGAGCCCCACACGTCACCTTTTGGGGGGGGGGGAAGAGGGAGGGGAAGGGATAGCGGGAGCTAGACTGACCCTACCTTAACAAGCAGCCGGCAGTCAAACTATCACTTTCAGGGAGGGGGAAAAAAGGCGGGAAAAACGGGAGCTTGACTTACCCTACCTTAACTAGTAGCCGGCAATGAAACTATTGTTACTATATCGCTACTCCTATCTATTGAACTTTTCCCTCACAGTAAGTAATGAGTGAACTGTATATACATTTTATCGCTCTGGGATGCTTAAATGTAATAGAATATTATGTGTAGGTGGGTTGGCCTGGTATGGTAGCCTGGCTGACTACCATACATACCACACTTGATTTCTTACAATAAATACTACTTGTCTCACCCTAGATTAAGACTATAAATATTTTAAGGTAAGTAATGAGTGCACTGTGTGTGTATTGTACTTTTTTATTGTTTTTTGATGCCTGGTTCTATTGCTAACTTATTGTATGTTAGTGTAAACTTGTTATCTAGTATTTGTATGCATTTATAAGTGGAAAAAAAAGGGTGTTCCACTTTACGGCGATTTCTGCTTTACGGCGGTAGCATGGAACCTAACCTGCCGTATACGTTTGGACCGTTTATGGGTTAATATAATGAATACAAGAAACTTGAGTTTTCTATTAGGTCCGCTATATGGCTTTAATAATTTCGATTACTAACCTTAGGCAGACACAATGGAGTGATTAACATTTGAAATGAATACAGATATTGAGAGTATATATTGATTATATTGATTAGAAAGTTTTACCTATGATCATGATATTGAGCAAATACATATATGGTTTTTACATATGTATTTATGATGAGCTGGGATAGGTTAAGGAGATAAGGTATTCTTTAACTATAGTTTTAAAAATGCTAACTGAATCAGTGATTCTGGAGATTTCTGGCAGTGTTACAGATTTTGGGTCCTTTTATGAAGGGGTTCAGGGAAACCGGCAGGCCGGACTTGAGTCCTGGAGATGGGAAGTACAGTGCCTGCACTCTGAAGGAGGGGTGTTAATGTTGCAGTTTAAAAACTGTAGTGTAAAGCACCCTTCTGGCAAGACAGTGATGGAGTGAATGATGGTGAAAGTTTTTCTTTTTTGGGCCACCCTGCCTTGGTGGGAATCGGCCAGTGTGATAATAAAAAAAAAAAAAAAAGTTTGGAAAGATTTAGCTTGACACGGGGAATGTGATAGAGGTTTTCGTGCCTAGTGTTGTGTCTATGAGGCCTTTTGTAATTGTCAGGAAAGTGTTTCAAGTCGGGATGTATATTAGAATTGCCTGTTCTGTAAATGTAGGTTGCACAATAGTATGAGTGAATGTTTTCTACAGTGAGTAGGTTTAAGTCTTTGAAGAGTGGGGGGGGGGTGTTGCCTAGCAATGGGTTGTCAGCATGCACACCTTAATGTCACCCGTCTCTGTACAAACATTGTATCATGCTGCAATAAGATCACAGCAAACAGGTGATATCACAATATGCAGAACAACTACTGCGATAAAATAGTGAAATTCCAAGTGATTTTGTGATCTCACATTATCAAGGAACAGTTACTTGATAATGCGAGAAATCACGAAAGGGCTTGGAATTTCACCATTTTTTCACAGTGGTTGTTCTGCATAGTATCATGCTGAAATGAAGATTATGATTATTAACTCCAGTGCTAACCTCCCATGTCTCAACAGGCTTCATTTCAAATCTCTTTACTCAATACAAGGCTTCCTTCACTGACATTACGTGGAAGCCTAATGAAACCTTAAATGTCAGTGTCGACAACACTCATTCACGCATGTACGCACACTAAAATAATTTATTGGCCGGCCAGGAAAAGGGTTAGCCCTTTACCCAGTTATAAAATAGAATTGATGGAGGGAAAAAGTGGGTGGTGCATTGAGGTATCTGTGGAAACAAAGAACATCGTCCATGGAAACAAAGAACATCGTCCATGGAAACAAAGAACATCGTTCATGGAAACAAAGAAGCAGATTGTATGGGTGTACAGAAAGTTCTTGACTTACAAACACATTGCGGACCTCCTGAATTGTGTATACCTTATTTCATGGCTTATAAGACTTGTTTTAGTTTCAGTGGCTCGGCATCGGACATAACTGGGAGAGCTACAGCCCATGTCACACCCCAAACTTATAGCTCTCGTCACTGACCTTCAGTTTATAGGATGCAGGCTGGCTTTTGGAGACATTTTATGAAAAAAAAAATGCGTCTAATCCGCAAAATACGGTAATAATGATATTATATACACAATAAAGATGCAATGACATACACAATAGAGAAGGTTCTCAACGTGTTTGCAGATCGAGAACTTATTGTGTAGTGGTACTAACACTGTTATTATTATTATTATTATTATTATTATTATTATTATTATTATTATTATTATTATTATTATTATTAGTGTCTGTGTCACTATTATTCTGTTATTCTGTCACTTTCAGAAAGTTGACACTCAGGACAGTATGGTGAACAACACTGATGATGACGTCATTGATGTAAAAGATGGTGAGTTTGATATTGTTTTTTGTTGCATTCGTCAGACGAATAATTGATGATTGTTTTTGTTGAATTCATCAAATGGATAATGATTAATCTAAAAATCGGTAATTTTTATTTTACTTGTCTCTGTTTTTTGCTGCAGTTGTCATGAAAAATGAACTGACAGGAGCCTTTATCATACAGTGAAGCATTAGGTACTAGGGGACTTTCCCCTAGCACCTAATGTGTACTTCATTATGATACAGGTGAGTGCTTGGGTTGCACTCAGGGTGCAACCTTTTTGTACTCACCTATTTGTGGCTGCAGGGGTTGAGTCATAGCTCCTAGCCTGGCCTCTTTATGAGTTGAACAATGCCACTGAGCTATGAGGTGGGAAATACAGTGCCTGTACTCTGAAGGATGAGTGAGGATGTTACAGTCCTGGTGGTGGGAAGTACAGTGCCTGTACTCTGAAGGATGAGTGAGGATGTTACAGTCCTGGTGGTGGGAAGTACAGTGCCTGTACTCTGAAGGATGAGTGAGGATGTTACAGTCCTGGTGGTGGGAAGTACAGTGCCTGTACTCTGAAGGATGAGCGAGGATGTTACAGTACTGGTGGTGGGAAGTACAGTGCCTGTACTCTGAAGGATGAGCGAGGATGTTACAGTACTGGTGGTGGGAAGTACAGTGCCTGTACTCTGAAGGATGAGCGAGGATGTTACAGTACTGGTGGTGGGAAGTACAGTGCCTGTACTCTGAAGGATGAGTGAGGATGTTACAGTCCTGGTGGTGGGAAGTACAGTGGCTATACTCTGAAGGATGAGTGAGGATGTTACAGTACTGGTGGTGGGAAGTACAGTGCCTGTACTCTGAAGGATGAGTGAGGATGTTACAGTCCTGGTGGTGGGAAGTACAGTGCCTGTACTCTGAAGGATGAGTTAGGATGTTACAGTCCTTGTGGTGGGAAGTACAGTGCCTGTACTCTGAAAGATGAGTGAGGATGTTACACTCCTGGTGGAGGGAAGTAAGGTGCCTGTACTCTGAAGGATGAGTGAGGATGTTACACTCCCGGTGGTGGGAAATACAGTGCCTGTACTCTGAAGGATGAGTGAGGATGTTACACTCCCGGTGGTGGGAAATACAGTGCCTGTACTCTGAAGAATGAGTGAGGATATTACAGTCCTGGTGGTGGGAAGTACAGTGCCTGTACTCTGAAGGATGAGTGAGGATGTTACAGTCCTGATGGTGGGAAGTACAGTGCCTGTACTCTGAAGGATGAGTGAGGATGTTACAGTCCTGGTGGTGGGAAGTACAGTGCCTGTACTCTGAAGAATGAGTGAGGATGTTACAGTCCTGGTGGTGGGAAGTACAGTGCCTGTACTCTGAAGGATGAGTGAGGATGTTACAGTCCTGGTGGTGGGAAGTACAGTGGCTATACTCTGAAGAATGAGTGAAGATGTTACAGTCCTGGTGGTGGGAAGTACAGTACCTGTACTCTGAAGGATGAGTGAGGATGTTACAGTCCTGATGGTGGGAAGTACAGTACCTGTACTCTGAAGGATGAGTGAGGATGTTACAGTCCTGGTGGTGGGAAGTACAGTGCCTGTACTCTGAAGAATGAGTGAGGATGTTACAGTCCTGGTGGTGGGAAGTACAGTGCCTGTACTCTGAAGGATGAGTGAGGATGTTACAGTCCTGGTGGTGGGAAGTATAGTGCCTGTACTCTGAAGGATGAGTGAGGATGTTACAGTCCTGGTGGTGGGAAGTACAGTGCCTGTACTCTGAAGGATGAGTGAGGATGTTACAGTCCTGATGGTGGGAAGTACAGTGCCTGTACTCTGAAGGATGAGTGAGGATGTTACAGTACTGGAGGTGGGAAGTACAGTGCCTGTACTCTGAAGGATGAGTGAGGATGTTTCAGTACTGGTGGTGGGAAGTACAGTGCCTGTACTCTGAAGGATGAGCGAGGATGTTACAGTACTGGTGGTGGGAAGTACAGTGGCTGTACTCTGAAGGATGAGTGAGGATGTTACAGTCCTGGTGGTGGGAAGTACAGTGCCTGTACTCTGAAGGATGAGTGAGGATGTTACAGTACTGGAGGTGGGAAGTACAGTGGCTGTACTCTGAAGGATGAGTGAGGATGTTACAGTACTGGAGGTGGGAAGTACAGTACCTGTACTCTGAAGGATGAGTGAGGATGTTACAGTCCTGGTGGTGGGAAGTACAGTACCTGTACTCTGAAGGATGAGTGAGAATGTTACAGTACTGGAGGTGGGAAGTACAGTACCTGTACTCTGAAGGATGAGTGAGGATGTTACAGTTCGGAGGATCATCTGAACTGATATATCAGCACACTTCTGGCAAGATTGGGATTGAATGAGCAATGGTGTTTCCCCTATGTTAGGTCACCCTACCTCAGTAGGAGACATCTAAAAATATGGTGGAACCTCGGTATATGACCAGCTCCCTACTTTTATTTATTTATTTAATAATTTGAACATACATACAGAGGTACAAAAAAATACAGGTAAGAGCAGCATGCCAAAGCCACTTGTATACATAGCATTACGGGCTGGCTTAAAATTAACTTAACTAAGCAATGATGTAATCAGTGATAAAACATTATTGTAAACAGTTAACAATAAAGCACAAATGAGTATTACAAAGACAGGTCATATGGTTGCTTGCATTGCTGTACATTCAGTAGAATGGAGTATTCTGTTAGGTAGTGTATTTAAAAAATAACAAAGTTAGATTGGGTCTTAGGTTTAACATTTTTTTTTTTTTTTATCACACTGGCCGATTCCCACCAAGGCAGGGTGGCCCGAAAAAGAAAAACTTTCGCCATCACATTTATGTGATAATAATTGTGAGAAACATTTAAGATATACAATTTATAAGGTTCAGTTATTCAGTATTTATTTAGTTTTGGGTGAGTAAGTGATCTTTGAGAAGAGACTTGAATTTATAAACAGGTAGTGTTTCTTTTATATTTACAGGTAATGAATTCCAGATTTTAGGGCCTTTTATGTGCATTGAGTTTTTGTATAGCGTGAGATGGACACGAGGAACATCAAAGAGTGATCTGTGTCTTGTGTTATGGTCATGTGTTCTGTTGAGGTTGGCAAGGAGATGTTTGAGGGGAGGGTTTATGTCAGAGTTAAGTGTTCTATGTATGTAATAGGTGCAGTAATAAGTATGGATGTTTTGTATGGTGAGTAGGTTTAGAGTTTTGACCAAACAAATATGACCTGCCAGAACTTCGCTGTAAACTATTTTGTGTTTCTTCGCATTTTTTGTTTTCTTGTATTATTTGTATAAATAAGTCACCATGGGGCCTACGATGATTAGTGATAACAGCCAACCAAACAGAAAATTGGAATTCATTACCTGTAAATATAAAAGAAACACTACCTGTTTATAAATTCAAGTCTCTTCTCAAAGATCACTTACTCACCCAAAACCAAATAAATACTGAATAACTGAACCTTATAAATTGTATATCTTAAATGTTTCTCACAATTATATCACATAAATGTTAAACCTAAAACCCAATCTAACTTTATTATTTTTTAAATACACTACCTAACAAAATACTCCATTCTACTGAATGTACAACAATGTAAGCAACCATATGACCTGTCTTTGTAATACTCATTTCTGCTTTATAGTAATCTGTTTACATTAATGTTTTATCACTGATTTCATCATTGCTTAGTTAATCTTAAGTTAATTTTAAGCCAGCCCGTAATGCTATGCATAGTATAAGTGGCTTTGGCATGCTGCTCTTATCTGTATTTTTTTGTACCTCTGTATGTGTGCTCAAATTGTAAATAAATAAATAAAATAAATAAAATACTCAAACAAAGTGGCACTCGAACAGCCATCTAGAATGAATTAAGGTCGCACGCCGAAGTTCCACCGTATATGTTTCATCTACTTACAGTTATTCCTCGCTCACTAGCATTTCCAGCTTTCAAATGCACACACTTTTCCATCACATTTCGTATTTAGAATACACTACTGTGTGGTGATCCTTTCCTTACGTTGAATAGGGGTATAAAACAGCTCTAGTTAGCCAGAGTTACTTTATTTTCTGGCATATAAGGCACCCTTTTTCCCTACAAAGGTCTTAGAAAGTCAGCCTGAGCCTTATATGCTCAAGGTTAGGATCAAGAGTATGTGTTATGTTACACTTTACAAGTTGTTTACTAATGTTACGGTGCTGGAAACATCGTCTTATATTTCTTATACTTTTGTGAGCCTTACATGCCACAAAATACAGTAACCAGTTAACAGGTCGTCATTTGACTACGACGCATGACAGGGGACACTGTCCTCTTTCCTGACAAACTAACCACCATCACTGCCCCCCAGTTTTCATTTTAGTAATCTGTCAACAGAGCCATTAAAAGAAGAAGTGCTGCCGGAAAATAACGATATTTGCTATGAACTTGCTGATGCAGAATCCACTGAAGATCCGCCATCTGTTGTGGGCGACGACGACTCCAGCAACTTGTCATTGGTGACATCTGTCGGCACTCAGGTGAGGAGCTGCCAAGTTCTGGTTGGTTCCTCGTGTATTTCATTAATCATAGGCTAATGTGCCATATTTCTTTTTTTGTAGATTTTGATGTGCTACAAATGTTGTTTCATAGATTTTGATGTCTTACATGTCATTTTTCGTATATTTTGATGTCTTACGTGTCATTTTTCGTATATTTTGATGTCTTATGTGTCATTTTTTGTATATTTTGATGTCTTACGTGTCATTTTTCATATATTTTGATGTCTTACGTGTCATTTTTCATATATTTTGATGTCTTACATGTCATTTTTCATATATTTTGATGTCTTACGTGTCATTTTTCATATATTTTGATGTCTTACGTGTCATTTTTCATATATTTTGATGTCTTACATGTCATTTTTCATATATTTTGATGTCTTACATGTCATTTTTCATATATTTTGATGTCTTACGTGTCATTTTTCATATATTTTGATGTCTTACGTGTTTTTTATAGATTTTGATGTGTTACATATTTCCTTTTTCATCAGTTTTGATGTTTGACATTCTTCTTGATCATACCCTTTTTTTTTTTTAACATTTTACTGTCTTCCACTGAGGCAGAGTGACCCAAAAAAGAAGAAACACTTTCACCATCATTCACTTTATCACTGTCTTGCCAGAGACACACAAATACCACAGTTCAGATGCCTCTCCAAATTGCAAATATTCCCACCCCTCCTTCAGAGTGCCGGCACTATACTTACCACCACCGTCCCTCCTTCAGAGTGCAGGCACTATACTTACCACCACCATCCCTCCTTCAGAGTGCCGGCACTATACTTACCACCACCGTCCCTCCTTCAGAGTGCCGGCACTATACTTACCACCACCGTCCCTCCTTCAGAGTGCAGGCACTATACTTACCACCACCGTCCCTCCTTCAGAGTGCTGGCACTATACTTACCACCACCATCCCTCCTTCAGAGTGCTGGGACTATACTTACCACCACCATCCCTCCTTCAGAGTGCCGGCACTATACTTACCACCACCATCCCTCCTTCAGAGTGCAGGCACTGTACTTACCACCACCATCCCTCCTTCAGTGCTGGCACTATACTTACTACCACCATCCCTCCTTCAGAGTGCTGGCACTATACTTACCACCACCATCCCTCCTTCAGAGTGCTGGCACTATACTTACCACCACCATCCCTCCTTCAGAGTGCAGGCACTGTACTTACCACCACCATCCCTCCTTCAGAGTGCTGGGACTATACTTACCACCACCATCCCTCCTTCAAAGTGCCGGCACTGTACTTACTACCACCATCCCAGAAACTCCAGATCCCTTCAGAGTGCAGGCACTGTACTTACCACCACCATCCCTTCAGAGTGCAGGCACTGTACTTACCACCACCATCCCTCCTTCAGAGTGCTGGGACTATACTTACCACCACTGTCCCTCCTTCAGAGTGCAGGCACTGTACTTACCACCACCATCCCTCCTTCAGAGTGCTGGCACTATACTTACCACCACCATCCCTCCTTCAGAGTGCAGGCACTGTACTTACCACACATCCCCTCCTTCAGAGTGCTGGGACTATACTTACCACCACTGTCCCTCCTTCAGAGTGCAGGCACTGTACTTACCACTACCATCCCTCCTTCAGAGTGCAGGCACTGTACTTACTACCACCATCTCTCCTTCAGAGTGCAGGCACTGTACTTACTACCACCATCCCTCCTTCAGAGTGCTGGCACTATACTCACCACCACCATCCCTCCTTCAGAGTGCTGGCACTATACTTACCACCACCGTCCCTCCTTCAGAGTGCTGGCACTATACTCACCACCACCATCCCTCCTTCAGAGTGCCAGCACTATACTTACCACCACCATCCCTCCTTCAGAGTGCCGGGACTATACTTACCACCACCATCCCCCCTTCAGAGTGCCGGCACTATATTTACCACCACCATCCCTCCTTCAGAGTGCAGGCACTGTACTTACTACCACCATCCCTTCTTCAGAGTTCAGGCACTGTACTTACTACCACCATCCCTCCTTCAGAGTGCAGGCACTGTACTTACTACCACCATCTCTCCTTCAGAGTGCAGGCACTGTACTTACTACCACCATCCCTCATTTAGAGTGCCAGCACTATACTTACCACCACCGTCCCTCTTTCAGAGTGCTGGCACTATACTCACCACCACCATCCCTCCTTCAGAGTGCCGGCACTATACTTACCACCACCGTCCCTCCTTCAGAGTGCTGGCACTATACTCACCACCACCATCCCTCCTTCAGAGTGCCGGCACTATACTTACCACCACCGTCCCTCCTTCAGAGTGCTGGCACTATACTCACCACCACCATCCCTCCTTCAGAGTGCCAGCACTATACTTACCACCACCATCCCTCCTTCAGAGTGCCGGGACTATACTTACCACCACCATCCCCCCTTCAGAGTGCCGGCACTATATTTACCACCACCATCCCTCCTTCAGAGTGCAAGCACTGTACTTACTACCACCATCCCTTCTTCAGAGTTCAGGCACTGTACTTACTACCACCATCCCTTCTTCAGAGTTCAGGCACTGTACTTACTACCACCATCCCTCCTTCAGAGTGCAGGCACTATACTTACTACCACTATCCCTCCTTCAAAGTGCAGGCACTGTACTTACTACCACCACCCCTCCTTCAAAGTGCAGGCACTGTACTTCCCACCTCCAGGACTCAAGTCCGACTAACTGGTATCACTGAATCACTTCACAAAATGTTAACTTGTTCACACTCTAACAGCACATCAGGTCCAGAAATCAATTTCCTCCACTCATTCCCACCTAACACTCTTAAACCTGTATGGCTATACATTAATCTGTTCAGAATGTACAATCGTACTCCGAGTTTCGACCATAATTCGTTCCCGAAGGCTGTTCGAGTGCCGTTACCGAACGAATTTGCTCCCATAAGGAATAATAAATTAGATTAGTCGGTTTCAGACCCCCAAAAATACACTTACAAAAGTACACTTACAAAAATACACTTACAAAAATACACTTACAAAAGTACACTTACAAAAGTACACTTACAAAAGTACACTTACAAAAATACACTTACAAAAATACACTTACAAAAATACACTTACAAAAATACACTTACAAAAATACACTTACAAAAATACACTTACAAAAATACACTTACAAAAATACACTTACAAAAATACACTTACAAAAATACACTTACAAAAGTACACTTACAAAAATACACTTACAAAAATACACTTACAAAAATACACTTACAAAAGTACACTTACAAAAATACACTTACAAAAATATACTTACAAAAATACACTTACAAAAATACACTTACAAAAATACACTTACAAAAATACACTTACAAAAATACACTTACAAAAATACACTTACAAAAATACACTTACAAAAATACACTTACAAAAATACACTTACAAAAGTACACTTACAAAAATACACTTACAAAAATACACTTACAAAAATACACTTACAAAAGTACACTTACAAAAATACACTTACAAAAATACACTTACAAAAATACACTTACAAAAGTACACTTACAAAAATACACTTACAAAAATACACTTACAAAAATACACTTACAAAAGTACACTTACAAAAATACACTTACAAAAGTACACTTACAAAAATACACTTACAAAAATACACTTACAAAAATACACTTACAAAAATACACTTACAAAAATACACTTACAAAAGTACACTTACAAAAGTACACTTACAAAAATACACTTACAAAAATACACTTACAAAAGCACTTACATAATTGTTCGAGTTGGGAGCCGTACGAAACTTGAGGTACCACTGTACGTTTATACACAATTTTATTGTTTCTAATAAGATACAATCATAAAACTGTACAATGAATGATGAATATAATAATGTGCATTTTTTTGGTGCTGGTTTATTCTTAAGATTTTATAAATACTCTGTGAGTTATTGGAGAAATTATTTTTTTTGTTTTTTCATTTTTATTTGTCAGCAAGGGTCAGGTTTTAATTTTCTTGTCTTAGGTTTGTCAGGGAACAGGACGAGTGTTAGGTAAGGTCTGCCAGGGAACAGGACGAGTGTTAGGTAAGGTCTGTCAGGGAACAGGACGAGTGTTAGGTAAGGTCTGTCAGGGAACAGGACAAGTGTTAGGTAAGGTCTGCCAGGGAACAGGACGAGTGTTAGGTAAGGTCTGTCAGGGAACAGGACGAGTGTTAGGTAAGGTCTGTCAGGGAACAGGACGAGTGTTAGGTAAGGTCTGTCAGGGAACAGGACGAGTGTTAGGTAAGGTTTGTCAGGGAACAGGACAAGTGTTAGGTAAGGTCTGTCAGGGAACAGGACGAGTGTTAGGTAAGGTCTGTCAGGGAACAGGACAAGTGTTAGGTAAGGTCTGTCAGGGAACAGGACTAGTGTTAGGTAAGGTCTGTCAGGGAACAGGACTAGTGTTAGGTAAGGTCTGTCAGGGAACAGGACGAGTGTTAGGTAAGGTCTGTCAGGGAACAGGACGAGTGTTAGGTAAGGTCTGTCAGGGAACAGGACGAGTGTTAGGTAAGGTCTGTCAGGGAACAGGACAAGTGTTAGGTAAGGTCTGTCAGGGAACTGGACAAGTGTTAGGTAAGATCTGTCAGGGAACTGGACGAGTGTTAGGTAAGGTCTGTCAGGGAACTGGACGAGTGTTAGGTAAGGTCTGTCAGGGAACAGGACGAGTGTTAGGTAAGGTCTGTCAGGGAACAGGACAAGTGTTAGGTAAGGTCTGTCAGGGAACTGGACGAGTGTTAGGTAAGGTCTGTCAGGGAACTGGACGAGTGTTAGGTAAGGTCTGTCAGGGAACAGGACAAGTGTTAGGTAAGGTCTGTCAGGGAACAGGACAAGTGTTAGGTAAGGTCTGTCAGGGAACAGGACAAGTGTTAGGTAAGGTCTGTCAGGGAACTGGACGAGTGTTAGGTAAGGTCTGTCAGGGAACAGGACAAGTGTTAGGTAAGGTCTGTCAGGGAACTGGACGAGTGTTAGGTAAGGTCTGTCAGGGAACAGGACAAGTGTTAGGTAAGGTCTGTCAGGGAACAGGACAAGTGTTAGGTAAGGTCTGTCAGGGAACAGGACAAGTGTTAGGTAAGGTCTGTCAGGGAACAGGACTAGTGTTAGGTAAGGTCTGTCAGGGAACTGGACAAGTGTTAGGTAAGATCTGTCAGGGAACAGGACTAGTGTTAGGTAAGGTCTGTCAGGGAACAGGACAAGTGTTAGGTAAGGTCTGTCAGGGAACAGGACGAGTGTTAGGTAAGGTCTGTCAGGGAACAGGACAAGTGTTAGTAAGGTCTGTCAGGGAACTGACGAGTGTTAGGTAGGTCTGTCAGGGAACTGGACGAGTGTTAGGTAAGGTCTGTCAGGGAACAGGACAAGTGTTAGGTAAGGTCTGTCAGGGAACAGGACAAGTGTTAGGTAAGGTCTGTCAGGGAACTGGACGAGTGTTAGGTAAGGTCTGTCAGGGAACTGGATGAGTGTTAGGTAAGGTCTGTCAGGGAACAGGACAAGTGTTAGGTAAGGTCTGTCAGGGAACAGGACAAGTGTTAGGTAAGGTCTGTCAGGGAACTGGACGAGTGTTAGGTAAGGTCTGTCAGGGAACAGGACAAGTGTTAGGTAAGGTCTGTCAGGGAACTGGACGAGTGTTAGGTAAGGTCTGTCAGGGAACAGGACAAGTGTTAGGTAAGGTCTGTCAGGGAACAGGACAAGTGTTAGGTAAGGTCTGTCAGGGAACAGGACAAGTGTTAGGTAAGGTCTGTCAGGGAACAGGACAAGTGTTAGGTAAGGTCTGTCAGGGAACTGGATGAGTGTTAGGTAAGGTCTGTCAGGGAACAGGACAAGTGTTAGGTAAGGTTTGTCAGGAAACAGGACAAGTGTTAGGTAAGGTCTGTCAGGAAACAGGACAAAGTGTTAGGTAAGGTCTGTCAGGGAACAGGACAAGTGTTAGGTAAGGTCTGTCAGGGAACAGGACTAGTGTTAGGTAAGGTCTGTCAGGGAACAGGACTAGTGTTAGGTAAGGTCTGTCAGGGAACTGGACAAGTGTTAGGTAAGATCTGTCAGGGAACAGGACTAGTGTTAGGTAAGGTCTGTCAGGGAACAGGACAAGTGTTAGGTAAGGTCTGTCAGGGAACAGGACGAGTGTTAGGTAAGGTCTGTCAGGGAACAGGACAAGTGTTAGGTAAGGTCTGTCAGGGAACTGGACGAGTGTTAGGTAAGGTCTGTCAGGGAACTGGACGAGTGTTAGGTAAGGTCTGTCAGGGAACAGGACAAGTGTTAGGTAAGGTCTGTCAGGGAACAGGACAAGTGTTAGGTAAGGTCTGTCAGGGAACAGGACAAGTGTTAGGTAAGGTCTGTCAGGGAACTGGACGAGTGTTAGGTAAGGTCTGTCAGGGAACAGGACAAGTGTTAGGTAAGGTCTGTCAGGGAACTGGACGAGTGTTAGGTAAGGTCTGTCAGGGAACAGGACAAGTGTTAGGTAAGGTCTGTCAGGGAACAGGACAAGTGTTAGGTAAGGTCTGTCAGGGAACTGGACGAGTGTTAGGTAAGGTCTGTCAGGGAACAGGACAAGTGTTAGGTAAGGTCTGTCAGGGAACAGGACAAGTGTTAGGTAAGGTCTGTCAGGGAACTGGATGAGTGTTAGGTAAGGTCTGTCAGGGAACAGGACAAGTGTTAGGTAAGGTTTGTCAGGAAACAGGACAAGTGTTAGGTAAGGTCTGTCAGGAAACAGGACAAAGTGCTAGGTAAGGTCTGTCAGGAAACAGGACAAGTGTTAGGTAAGGTCTGTCAGGGAACAGGACAAGTGTTAGGTAAGGTCTGTCATGGAACAGGACAAGTGTTAGGTAAGGTCTGTCAGGGAACAGGACGAGTGTTAGGTAAGGTCTGTCAGGGAACTGGACGAGTGTTAGGTAAGGTCTGTCAGGGAACAGGACAAGTGTTAGGTAAGGTCTGTCAGGGAACAGGACTAGTGTTAGGTAAGGTCTGTCAGGGAACTGGACGAGTGTTAGGTAAGGTCTGTCAGGGAACAGGACAAGTGTTAGGTAAGGTCTGTCAGGGAACAGGACAAGTGTTAGGTAAGGTCTGTCAGGGAACAGGACAAAGTGTTAGGTAAGGTCTGTCAGGGAACAGGACAAAGTGTTAGGTAAGGTCTGTCAGGGAACAGGACAAAGTGTTAGGTAAGGTTTGTCAGGAAACAGGACAAAGTGTTAGGTAAGGTCTGTCAGGAAACAGGACAAAGTGTTAGGTAAGGTCTGTCAGGAAACATGACAGGTGCTTCCTGACACAGGTCTTAGTCATATGACGACCGACAGCTGGAGCGTTTGGTCATCTGGCTGAGACCTTCCACTGGCTTACCTCTCTACCACTTCAAAAACAACTTAAATTATAACATTAATCATTTATCTCAGCTTCCTTAAGAATTGGAACTTTTTCAATGTCTAATTATGACATTTTACCCACACTGGGCTTTGTCCATACAGTAAGGCGCTTCTCATTACGAAGGTTCGTTTTATGTATTTCAACTTTTACATGGTGCTAGCAGAAGTTAACCTTGAGATGAGACTTAAGATAATTACCCAACATGAAGGCAACAAGTCCATAACTTGTATTCATTTGTTGAATACAAGTTATGAACTGGTATTTAGTTACAGTAATTATTTGCTTATTTATTAAGTGACATTGGAACATAATGCCATCGTAAGTCAAGGACCACCTATAGTTATAAAGCCCTACTATAGGTGATTAAACCCCACTGGCATTATGTAACCCCCACTGGGATTATATAACCATCCACCACTGGGATTATATAACTTCCCACTGTGGGTGTAATGTGTATTCACATCACTGCCTTACTTACACCATTGTTATCTGACTTTGTGGTTTCTCACATAGGAACACTCCGATTGTCTGCCGCCTCTACCCGCCGCATGCAGTGGTGTTTCCGAAGCTACCAGCTGTCAGCCTACAACAGTCGGAGTCACGCAAACAGGTGATGACTTACAGATGGAGTTTATGCTGTTTAAATATAGATATTTAAATCTGATGTAGGTAGTAGGTTGGTAGGCAGCAACCGCCCAGGGAGGTACTACCGTCCTGCCAAGTGAGTGTAAAACGGAAACCTGTAATTGTTTTACATGATGGTAGGATTGCTGGTGTCTTTTTTCTGTCTCATAAACATGCAAGATTTCAGGTACATCTTGCTACTACTTCTTACACTTAGGTCACACTACACATACATTTTTTTTTTTTCAACAAACCAGCTGTATCCCACCAAGGCAGGGTAGCCCAAAAAGAAAAACGAAACACATACACGTACATGTACAAGCATATATATATACACACCCCTCTGGGTTTTCTTCTATTTTCTTTCTAGTTCTTATTCTTGTTTATTTCCTCTTATCTCCATGGGGAAGTGGAACAGAATTCTTCCTCCGTAAGCCATGCGTGTTGTAAGAGGCGACTAAAATGCCGGGAGCAAGGGGCTAGTAACCCCTTCTCCTGTATAAATTACTAAATTTAAAAAGAGAAACTTTTGTTTTTCTTTTTGGGCCACCCTGCCTTGGTGGGATATGGCTGGTGTGTTGAAAGAAAAAGAGAATATGGCAAGCATGTGTGAGAGTGTGCTAGATGGGAGTGAGTTGAGACAAATGGTTTTTGGGACTTGAGCTGTTGGAATGTGAGCATGGTAATATTTTATGAAGGGATTCAGGGAAACCGGTTAGCCAGACTTGAGTCCTGGAGGTGGGAAGCACAATGCCTGCACTTTAAAGGAAGGGTTTGGGATATTTGCTGTTTGGAGGGACATCCAAACTGTCGTATCTGAGTGCCTTTGGCAAGACAGTGATAGTGTCGCCGTTCTGCAGTAGGAAACAGCCAGCGTGCTGAAAAAAACAGAGTTCAACCCTTTCACTGTCGAGACCGCTGCTCACAAACTTGCTGTCAGTATCAAAGAATTAAAAAACAAAATAATTTTTTCTTATGAAATGATAAGAGAATCTTTTCCCAGTGGTAATGACACCAAAAGTACGAAATTTGATGGAAAACTTAGGGAATTATGATCTCGCAAAGTTAGCAGTCATGACGATATTTACGCTTCGGCGATTTTACCTGCTTTAAACCCTATTTTCAGCCAGTTCCATTGTTCCAGTTGACCAAACTCATAGCTATTTCACTAGAACTCCTTTTGTTCTATTGGCTGAGTACAAGAAATTGCCCATTTACTTATTTCAGCTACCCAATAAAGTGATTAGAAATTGGTAATTTGGCCAATTTCATACACAATTTAAGAAATGACAATTTCAAAATAGGGTCCAGAATTAGCAGTGCAAACATTCCTAGCACTAACATAACATTTTCTCTGTTCACTAGTCATGTCTCCAGACCCTCTTATATTACACTTGCTTTCCATTTTGAATTTTATTCACACAAAAACAGATTTATTGTTATGTAGACCACTGCATTATTGCACAGATGGTATAAATATTATCAGTGAATTTGTGAAAGCATATTAGACCCACCAGTTGACGTGTATTGGACACGTGACGTGATTTATTTACTCTTGAACGTTTCTGCTACTTTGACCTGAATTTCAATTTTTTTTATCTGTAAGCCATTCAAAATCATCTCTAGTTCTGTAATATATCTTCCAATCTATCAAATGAGATCAAGAAAACGAGAATACAACCATAAATACCATACGAAAATACACCACAAAGTCGCTGTTTTAAATGAAAAACACAGTCGGGATTTTTTCTCTCATTACGCACTGTGTGCTGCAGGATTTTTTTTTATACTGTGCACACTGACCACTCAGACCCCTTCTCTCATATGTAGGCCTATCAGTTTTCTCCCGCAAGATTGGAAGCCACTAGAATTTTGGCATACTATTACGGGACCGACACTGGCTTGCAAGCCGTAATATTACGGGACCAACAGTGAAAGGGTTAAATCTGAAATATGGGCAGAAGGTTGCAGTTCAGTAGATTGGTTAAATTTTGACATCATTGCATATTGAAATATAGCGATTATGGAAATATAGCGATTATGGAAATATAGCTGTTATGGAAATATAGCTGTTATGGAAATATAGCTGTTATGGAAATATAGCTGTTATGGAAATATAGCTGTTATGGAAATATAGCTGTTATGGAAATATAGCTGTTATGGAAATATAGCTGTTATGGAAATATAGCTGTTATGGAAATATAGCTGTTATAGAAATATAGCTGTTATGGAAATATAGCTGTTATGGAAATATAGCTGTTATGGAAATATATAGCTGTTATGGAAATATAGCTGTTATGGAAATATAGCTGTTATGGAAATATAGCTGTTATGGAAATATAGTCTGTTATGGAAATATAGCTGTTATGGAAATATAGCTGTTATGGAAATATAGCTGTTATGGAAATATAGCTGTTATGGAAATATAGCTGTTATGGAAATATAGCTGTTATGGAAATATATAGCTGTTATGGAAATATAGCTGTTATGGAAATATAGCTGTTATGGAAATATAGCTGTTATGGAAATATATAGCTGTTATGGAAATATAGCTGTTATGGAAATATAGCTGTTATGGAAATATAGCTGTTATGGAAATATAGCTGTTATGGAAATATAGCTGTTATGGAAATATAGCTGTTATGGAAATATAGCTGTTATGGAAATATAGCTGTTATAGAAATATAGCTGTTATGGAAATATAGCTGTTATGGAAATATAGCTGTTATGGAAATATATAGCTGTTATGGAAATATATCTGTTATGGAAATATATCTGTTATGGAAATATAGCTGTTATGGAAATATAGCTGTTATGGTTTAGAACACTTGTGCAACATCTTAGAATCCTTGTTGTGGAATCGTTTCATCAGTCAGTGGCTTCTTCAGGCCAATACAGAGAAAGGCGGAAGACGAGGAGGAGTTTGAGGTAATCAGTCCCCCAGCCTGGATGTGATGTGTCCGGTCCATCGATCTCGGACTGAAGAAAGTTGCATCAAACTGGTCCATGGTTGAGAGAAATGTGATTTAATTAAGTTTCATTAAAAATAGCTTTGATTTCACTATAAATATTAGTTCAGGGTTATATAAATTAGATTCTTTTATAAATAGAATTTGTGAGGAATTTCAGTGCTATTCTATTATTTTTACATTTCCTTGATAATGTGAAAAATCATTTAGTAATTTATACAGGAGAGGGGGTTACTAGCCCCTTGCTCTTGCCATTTGAGTTAATTCTTATAACGCATGGCTTATGGACGAAAAATTCTGTTCCACTTCCCCATGGAGATAAGAGGAAAGAAGAACAGGAACTAGTAAGAAAATAGAAGAAAATCCCGCTGGGTATGTATGTATATATGCTTGTACGTGTATGTGTAGTGTGACCTAAGTGTAAGTAGAAGTAGCAAGATGTACCTGAAATCTTGCATGTTTATGAGACAGAAAAAAGATACCAGCAATCCTACCATCATATATAACAATTACAGGTTTTCGTTTTACACCCACTTGGCAGGATGGTAGTACCTCGGAATGAACATTAAAATGGTATAAAATACCGACAGATTGTTAGGTAAGACACATATGCAACAGTCAGGTATCTTTATTTCGAAACGTTTCGCCTACACAGTAGGCTTCTTCAGTCGAGTACAGAAAAGTTGATAGAAGCAGAAGATACTTGAAGACGATGTAATCAGTCCATCACCCTTAAAGTTTTGAGGTGGTCAGTCCCTCAGTCTGGAGAAAAGCATTGTTCCGTTGTCTGAAACAATATGAAGTTGAAGTGACAGGATGGAGCCTTTATATAGTGCCAGGAGGTGAGACGGAGGTTGCTTTGGGAGGGCAGGTCCCTCTCAAACCCAGCCGTTCTCACTAGTAGAGGTCGAAGTTGATGGTCTGTACCAAGATACCCTTGTGTTGCAGTGTCTGACAGAATGAACATTAAAATGGTATAAAATACCGACAGATTGTTAGGTAAGACACATATGCAACAGTCAGGTATCTTTATTTCGAAACGTTTCGCCTACACAGTAGGCTTCTTCAGTCGAGTACAGAAAAGTTGATAGAAGCAGAAGATACTTTTCTGTACTCGACTGAAGAAGCCTACTGTGTAGGCGAAACGTTTCGAAATAAAGATACCTGACTGTTGCATATGTGTCTTACCTAACAATCTGTCGGTATTTTATACCATTTTAATGTTCATTCTGTCAGACACTGCAACACAAGGGTATCTTGGTACAGACCATCAACTTCGACCTCTACTAGTGAGAACGGCTGGGTTTGAGAGGGACCTGCCCTCCCAAAGCAACCTCCGTCTCACCTCCTGGCACTATATAAAGGCTCCATCCTGTCACTTCAACTTCATATTGTTTCAGACAACGGAACAATGCTTTTCTCCAGACTGAGGGACTGACCACCTCAAAACTTTAAGGGTGATGGACTGATTACATCGTCTTCAAGTATCTTCTGCTTCTATCAACTTTTCTGTACTCGACTGAAGAAGCCTACTGTGTAGGCGAAACGTTTCGAAATATAGATACCTGACTGTTGCATATGTGTCTTACCTAACAACACATGGTAGTACCTCCCTGGGTGGTTGTTGTCTACCAACCTACTATCACAGGACAGTAGTACTTCCCTGGGTGGTTGCTGTCTACCAACCTACTACCACAGGACAGTAGTACCTCCCTGGTGATTGCTGTTTACCAACCTATTACCACAGGATGGTACTACCTACCTGGGTGGTTGCTGTCTACCAACCTACTTCCACAGGATGGTAGTACCTTCCTGGGTGGTTGCTGTTTACCAACCTACTACCACAGGATGGTAGTACCTTCCTGGGTGGTTGCTGTCTACCAACCTACTACCACAAGATGGTAGTACCTTCCTGGGTGGTTGCTGTTTACCAACCTACTACCACAGGATGGTAGTACCTTCCTGGGTGGTTGCTGTTTACCAACCTACTACCACAGGATGGTAGTACCTACCTGGGCAGTTGCTGTCTACCAACCTATTTCCACTGGATGGTAGTACCTCCCTAGGTGGTTGTTGTCTACCAATCTACTACCACAGGATGGTAGTACCTCCCCCAGGCGGTTACTGTCTACCAACCTACTGCCACAGGACGGTAGTACCTCCCTGGGCGGTTGCTGTCTACCAACCTACTACCACAGGATGGTAGTACCTCCCTGGGCAGCTGCTGTCTACCAACCTACTACCACAGGATGGTAGTATCTACCTGGGTGGTTGCTGTCTACCAACCAACTTCCACTGGATGGTAGTACCTCCCTGGGTAGTTGCTGTCTACCAATCTACTACCACAGGACAGTAGTACCTCCCTGGGTGGTTGCTGTCTACGAACCTACTACCACAGAATGATAGTATCTCCCTGGGTGGTTACCGGCTACCAACCTACTGCCACATGACAGTAGTACCTCCCTGGGCAGTTGCTGTATACCAACCTACTACCACAGGATGGTAGTACCTCCCTGGGCAGTTGCTGTCTACCAACCTACTAACACAGGATGGTAGTACCTTCCTGGGCAGTTGCTGTCTACCAACCTACTGCCACATTACAGTAGTACCTCCCTGGGCAGTTGCTGTCTACCAACCTACTACCTAGGAATATAACAATATAATTCACATTTTCCAGGTGTTCCTTCAGATGCCAGGAGAAAAATGGACACCCCATCCACCAGCAAAAATGAAAATCCACCGCAGAAATATTTGACATCAACGCAGACAATAGACATATGCAGGAGACTGGAGCAAGGTGAAGATACTAGTGTTCTGATGAAGGAGTACAAGATTGGAGCATTACCCTTACGTTCTATTCGCTCTGAAAAAGATCGACTACTAAAGTTCTTCACTGATTCATTGTCTTACAATGGTTCAGCATCTCACCAGTTTCAGGTGTCTGGCAAGGGTTCGGAAACTAACAAAGGCTCGGTATCTAACAAAGGTTCAACACCTGACAAAGTCACAATGTCTGATAAAGGTTCAGAATCTAATAAAAATTTGGTGTTTTATGAAGGTTCAACATCCAACAAACGTTCAAGGTTTGATAAAGACTCAGTGTCTAACAAAGGTTCAATGTCACACAGTGGTTCAATGTATCACAAAGGTACTGTATTAAAAAAAGGCTCAATATCTGACAAAGGTTTTGTGTTGAATAGAGATTCAGTATGTAATAGGGGTTCTATATTTGGCAAAGGTTTGATGTTTAACAAAGAGTCAGCGTCCGACAAAGGTTCCTCATCTAACAAAGGCGTTGATAAGAGGAAACTTATACCAAAGCGTAAATTGGAAGTCTTGGACGCGGTGCTTTACGAGTGGTTGAAACTGAAATGGCTGGCAGGTGTCCAAGTGTCTCGACCAACTCTCTCTGAAAAGGCAAACGATTTTTATAAGAAGTTGAATGTTACTAATCAGTTTTTGCTATCTGAAAAGTGGTTGTCTCATTTCATAACCCGTCATGGGGTCAGGCTGGACGAATGTGACGAACAGAACACAGACAGTCATGAAACTGCTGAAACATGCTCGGAAATTTTTGCTAGCCTTGTTGAAGAGCATGATTTATCACCTGAACAGATTTATAATGCCAAAGAGATGCATTTGTTCTGGCGTTGCCTCCCTGCTTCTGTGCTTGTAGGTTTAGGTGAATCCAGCGCAATGGCAGCCAGGCGGAATAAGGACAGTCTGATGGTGTTAACCTGTGCTAATGCGGCAGGCACCCATAGGTTAAAATTACTTGTTGTGGGTAAATGTAGCAACCCTAGAGCTATTAAACATGTGACCCATCTACCGGTGGTTTACAAAGCTCAAAGCAATTCATGGTTGGACAAGGAAAACTTTCAAGATTGGTTTTATCATCATTTTGAACCAGAGGTAAAACAGCATTTCAAAAAAATTGGTTTACCTCAAGCCAGCAAAGCTATTCTTATATTGGATAATTGCAGAGCCGACCCTAATGAATTTGAGTTAGTTTCTGGCAATATTTTCACCACTTATCTTCCTTCTAATGTTACATCTCTAATTCAGCCCATGGAGCAAGGCGTTATCCAGACTATAAAGTCGAACTACAGAAGAGACTTCCTTAGAAAACTCGCTCATTTCCACGGTAGTATACAGGACTTTCAAGCAGCTTATAGCATGAAAGATGCAATCTACAGTGTAGCGTGTGCCTGGAATGATATTAAGAGCTTCACTTTAAGAAAAGCCTGGATCAAATTGTGGCCTAATGTTATGTTTGACGTGTCATCTGAGGAGGAAGATTTTGAAGGGTTTGGATTACAGGCAAAGAAATCGGTATTCTCCATTTTGGATGTTTTTAAAAATGCACTGCCTCCCAGTGCAGTTGCCAGTTTACATGAAGACGATTTCCAGGAATGGCTGGATGCTGACCAAACTGCCGAATTGACTCGGGAAGTGACTGATGATGATATCATTCAGAGTGTTTTAAATCCAGTTCATGAAACGAGTGAAGAAGAAGATTATGAAGTGCAAAGAGTGATAACCTGGGCTAAAGCTATTGAAAACCTAAAAGAACTCATTGAATTTACTGAAAGTAAGGCATGTTTTTCTGCACAGGAAGTTATGTTATTCCATAGATTACACTCGACATTTCTTCAAAAAAGGCACAGTAGTACCATCCAAGAAGATATCAGAGATTTCTTCAAAAAGGCCTCAAAAAATTATCAAAAAACATGCTCATTAATTGAGATGGATGAACCACTGACCCTGACAAATTCCTCGACTGAAGTTGAAACAGAAAAAGCACCTAGCAGTCCGCCAGTGCCAGAGTCAACTTAACCCTTAAATGGTCCAAACGTATATATATGTTTTTTCAACATCTGATAGTATGTAAAAAAATGTCGATCTTGTTTTTTTTTTTGTTTTACATGTGAAAACGTGTAAAAAAAACTTTTATCTACTTTTTTTTGTTATATTTGAAAATATGTAAAAAAAGTAGATCTACTTTTGTAGCTACGAATTTGAACGTCGATTTGTTTGGACCGTTTAAGGGTTAATCTACAAACTTGTGCCATAAATTTTTAACTGAACATAAATCTAGAAACTGTTGTATTAATGTTGGTAGTATTACCAACATTATGTTAGGTAAAAGGCCACAAGTGCGACTAATGTGACATATTATTAGGTCAATGTTTTGCTCTCCAGGAGCATTGACAAAGCTCCTGGAGAGTGAAACATTACCACAATAAAATGTCATATTAGTTGCACTTGTGGCCTTTTACCAAACCAGAAACTGTTATTTCAGAATATTTAGTTAACTAAGAGATCTGTATTTAACATAGCCTATATATTTTATATTTTGGATACATAAACCTTTTTATGTGGGTGACTTGATAGTGGGGAAAGGCTCTTGATCTTAGGAATTGGAGTTATTTTCTCCATGTCACTGATGCCCTATAACCTCCCTGGAGGCTTGGCACTGCCCATGATTATAATTGCAGATTAACCCTTAAACTGTCCAAACATAGATCTACGTTCACGTGCGTAGCGCTCCGAACGTAGATCTACGTTTTATTTTAAACGCTTTCTTACGTAAAAAAAAAAAACGTAATTTACATTCAGAGCGCTATGTACATGAACGTAGATCTACACTTGGACAGTTTAAAGGTTAAGAATACAATAAAGCTATCTGCAGTATACAAAATGGTAACATTATATTTTTTGTTGTTAACACATCAGCCGTCTCCCACCAAGGTAGGGTGGCCCGAAAAAAAATAAGTTGAATGAATGATGGTTTTTCTTTTCAGGCCGCCCTACCTTGTCGGTATTGTATGCCATTCTTGTACAACTACCATTTTGTGTACTGTTAATAAAATGTTGTTAAGTACAAACAAAACACTAACATAAATGTGCATTTCAGGCAGACTAATCTTAATGCATCTTAGCGATACCCAAAGCGTAGTTTCGTGGATCCTCATATTTCAGGATCCTTCATTATGTTCAAAATACTGTACGTAGAGCAGGTCATCAAGTATGTGTTGATTGGTTATTGAGCATGCAACACGACTCAAAAAAATGTAATGAGTACTTGTTAGTGGTAAATGATAACCCATCATAGATACAGAAACTCAGAAAAATAATTGGTCTGTATAATTTGACTTGCTGGGGTCCCTTCAACTGAAGAGGACCCCAGCAAGGGGTCAAAATATTTTTTTGAGTTTCTGTATCCATGTGGGTTAATGACCATCCAATAAAATACTGTTCTAGCTAATTCCTGAACTGATACTGCTCTAAAATGAATTGTGCAAAAAATAGGGGCCTATGAAAGTTATGTCATTAGATTTTTTTAAAAAATCCAGGCCTTGTCCACTGAAGGAACTCAAAAATTTATGATTCTTTTGTAGTAGCTTTGCAGATTGGTGTAAATACAGTAATTGGCAAGAAATATAAGTGAGCAAAATATTTTGTGTTAGTGCAATGATTTTAGCATTTTTGTAAATCATTTTTTATAGTATCAAGAATATACATTATAATGTAAATCTGTAAGTCTTAAGAAAATAGGTTTAAGGCACACTTATTTTTTTATATGTATAGTTTAAGATTCTTGGCATTTTTACGAGGTTAAGTTTTAATTTTTTTGATAATATACATTACAGGTATCCTGTAAATCTATAAACATTACATCCCTCAAGGGAGGGTCCTTAATGCTAGTGAGGGGCTCTTGATCCAAGGAATTGAAGTTATCCTCCCATTCCTTGGATCAAACCCAATTACCTCTCATTTTCCAGGCACCATATCACATCTACATGGTTAGCTCCTGAATGCATTACTAGTAATAATAATGTAATGTAAATATACAATAAAAGTAGATTGAAGACTTTTTTTTAAACTTGCCAAGGCAGTGTAACCCAAAGAAGAAAATACATCCACCATCATTCATCCAATTGCTGTCTTGCCAAAATGCATAACTGTGGGCTTCAACATGCTCTCAAGTGTCACCCATTTCTGTATAGACAATGTGTCATGTTAAAATTAACTTGTAAGTGTTCACATTACCCTCCAGTTGGAACACAGTTCAACTAACCCTTTATTAGAGTGCAAGCACTATGTACCACCTCCAGGACTTGTGTCCTGCTAACTGGTTTTTCTCCAAAAGTTACCTGGAGTATACCTGGAGGGTGTTTCAGGTGTCAAAGCTATGCCCTGGTCCATGACCAGGTCTCGTGGTTAATCAGGACCTGATCAACCAGGCTGTTACTGCTGGTTGTACGTAAACCAACGTATGAGCCATAGCCCGTCTGTTCAGGTACTGACTTCAGGTGCCTGTCCAGCTCCTTGAAGACAACCAGGGGTCTTGAAGACAACCAGGAGTCTATTGGTAATCCCCATTATGTATGCTGGGAAGCAGTTGAACAGTCTTGGGCCTCTGACACTGTATTGTCTCTCAGTGTACGCATGGTGCCCATGTTTTTCACTGGGGGATGTTGCACTGCCATCACATCTATTAAAAATCACTTGTCTCCATTCATTCCTACTTAACACACACAGTCCTGATGATGCTCAGTCATCTAACACTAAACTTCTCTTACTCCACCATTTTAGGATGTCTTCTACATCCCACCCATAATGAACACATGCACATTGGGGCCAGGAGCTGTGACTCAACTCCTACAATTACAAATAGGTAAGATGACTACTGTGATATCACACATATTTTAATCTGAAGTGTGGTATCAACTTGATTTTTACAAGACAGCCTGCATAATCCTGCGGGAAACAAACCATACCCCGGCCGGGATTGAACCCGCGGTCAGAGAGTCTCAAAACTCCAGCCCATCGCGTTAGCGCTTCCCTTTGATTATAATAATTTACAAGACAGCAATTGATTGAATGATGGTGAATGCTTTCTCTTTTTTGGGGAGCTTGTGATCCAAGGAATTGGATGCATCTCCTTCCTTGAATGCCTTTTGTTTCCCAGACACTACTAACCCATGTGGGTTTAGCACTTACCCCAAGTTTTTTAAAAAAATATGCAGCTGAGAACTGGTATTAGAATACAACCTGTCAAGAAGGGTTCCATGATACTGGTGAGGGGCTCTTGATCCAAGGAACTGGATCGAACCTGAGTGTGTCTCGCCCCCTCCATGTGCTATAGGACTCCTATGGGTTTACCACTTCAAACTAAGTTTATTACCCCTGATAAATTACAGTGAACCCTTGCATTAAGTTTATTCAGGTATACACAAATACAGTTACATATACATAGCAGCATAATGACACCACAAGAATATTTACCAGGGTGTTTTATATGTGCTAGTACTGGTTTAGCGCTTCTTTTTTTATTATAATTACTTGTGCTATTGTGTCTAAAAAAAAAAAAAACTTGTATTATGAACGGTACAGTTGTCCAAAACTACACTAAACTAATGGATGGGTTCGTTATGGCTCGATAACCGTGCAGTGAACCCTTCAATAATACCCACCAGGAAATTTACCTGGGTGTTTTATGTGCTTGTGCTATTGTGTTCTGATTTTTCTGAGGTTATTACGCAAGAATCTTTATAAAATTCCTTAGGAAGGCTGTAAAACGTTATTTTATGAACGGTACAAGTGTCCATAACCACAATGGACGGGTTCATTATGGCATGAGGACCAATTAATGAACCCTTCAACTCAACAATAACAAACACAAGGAATAATTTTACAAGTTTCTGCAGTCATTCTAAAATAGCATTTATAAAATACCTCAGCAAGGCTGTAAAACGTTACTTTATGACCAGTACAAGCGTCCATAACCACAAAAAATAAACGGGTTCACTACGGCCTGAGGACCGCCTGGTGAACCCTTCAACCCAACAATAACAACAACAAGACGCCAACATTACCTCATCATCGGGGTCTTTTTTCACTGTCTTTTTCGTAATTTTTTTTTATTTTTCCCTCCACAATGGTCTTTAAAAATGCCAAGTCGAGGCGTCCAGGAGACCATAGACGGAAGAGGAAACATGATGAGCAGGAGAGAGAGAGAATTAAACGTGTGAAGAGAGATTCATATGTAATAACTGACCAGGAATCACACGTTGATGATTCTAAGATTGATGATGATGATTTTTGTATCTAACATTTGTAAATCAAAGATTGATGAATCTAACTTTGATAAAGATAATGTTGATGAATCTAAGATTGATGAATCTAACTTTGATAAAGATAATGTTGATGAATCTAAGATTGATGAATCTAATAATGAATGTAAGATTGATGAATCTAAGATTGATGAATCTAACTTTAATCTAAATGATATCTGTTGTGAATCCAAATTGATGAATCTAATAATGAATGTAAATTTGATGAATCAAGATTGATGAATCTAATTGTGATTCAATAGTAACATAATAATGTCGAATCATTGATGATTCTGTTTGGGGGGATCAAACCCTCGAGAAGCTGTTGTTTGATGAACGAACATTAGAGCTAGGTGATGAAATCTAACGTCGGGTTCTCACACCTGAAGTAATGGAAGTTGAATGTTCGAGGGTCTTTTGACGGTTGCAAGGTTTGGTCGGGACCTCACTGGATACCCTAGAGAGGTGCTGGTAGTGGTTCAACGAAGGCGAAGAGCGCGGCAGGCGTTGGCTAACGGTGATGATCGCTGACAGGCCAGAACTGTATGAAGTTGAGATGACGGAAGTGTGCGTTTGCCCCGGTTGGGGATAGCCCGTTCAGGTCCGTCAGGTATTACGCCAGGAAGACTTAGGATGAGAAGTATTCTGCGGCGAATCGACCGCTACAATATGTTGCACATGTGACCTAAAGGTGTGAAAACCTCCATTAGGCAGCCAGACCGGATATATAACGTCGACGAGACCGGATTATTTTGGCACAGTTTCCCTTGGGGAATCACAGCCACAACGGAGAGCCGCAGAATAACGAGGATCGACTGACTGTGGTTTGTTGTGCAAATGCTGCCGGAACGCACCGCTGTAAATTAATGGTGATAGGCAACAGTGTTGAGCCTAAAGGTGTGAAAAACCTTCCGATCATCTATAGGGTTCACAAAGATTCTTACATAAATCAAGTTCTCTTTCAAGATTGGTTTTATAATCATTTTGTTCCTGAAGTCAAGAAAAACTTCATAAAAACGGGTTGTCCAGCAGACAGTACGGCACTGTTGTTGCTCGACAAAAGTAACACTCACCCTAGGCTGCAAGATTTACGCAGCGGTAATATCTTTGCAGAGTTCTTGCCTGACAGTAAAACTGGTTTAATACAACCGATGGAACAAGGAGTCGTTCAGGACGTCAAAGCTCGTTACAGGAAAACTTTTATACGGAGGTTAATCGCACACAACGGAAGTATGGAAGAATTTAACAAAAGTTTCACCATTAACGAAGCAATTTCTGACATTACAAAAGCTTGGGAACTTGTTACAAATTCAAGTTTGAAAAAAAGTTGGAGAAAACTCTGGCCCGACATTTCTTTTATTGATTCTGACGACGAGGAATTTGAAGGTTTTAAACCAAAGAGAATAAGTAAGAGGAACTTTCTGAAACAAGAAATATTAGATGACGTTAAAGTTATCGAGGCTCCAGAAGTGAAGAAAATGTTCGAGTCGGAGAACCTGGAAGAGTCCATTGATAAGTGGCTAGACTGTGACGATGCTGCCCCAACAACAGATCGTCTGACTAATCATGAAGTTGGTGACAGTCTTAAAAATCCAAACACAACAGTTGAAATACACTCTGTTGATTCTGATGACAATGAAGACATCCATCCATCGTCTTCAGATCATAATCCAACGACTTTCAACTCCAATCAAACTCCAAACAAATGTGTTGAAACTGATGATAATGAAGAAACCAGTGCATCAATTTTGGATCAAAATTCCAAGGACAAAAAAGAATCCATTGATAAACTGGGAGATCATGACAAAGTCGGCCCCACGACACAATGTTGCACCGAAGATGATCTCACTGAAATTGTTCAACATCCTAAAACGATTGATGAAACCGATTCTGACGATTCTGATAATGAAAGCCCTCTACCAACCCTAGAGGAGAGTTTGAAGAAAGTAGAAACCTTAATTCGTTTCATGGAGTCTAGAAAGGAATTCACTCATGAGCAAATCATAGAGCAATATCAAATAGAAAAAATTCTCTTGTCTCTGAAAATACAGACACTGGAGCAGCATTCCTCAAACACCGTTTCAAAAAAGCATATTAAATCATCACCGTCTCCACCTGTTCGATCGCCAAGCCCCATTAGACGGATAAAACCATTGTTTAAGGTAGCTAAAATGAAACTTAGCACTTATGTGTACCTGTGCATAAACTAACAAATTTCACCCTTCAAACCATACCACAGGCGGGGATAGAACCCACGATCAGAGAGCCATAAAACTCCAGACTGACGTGTTAGCCACTGGGCCCTTCAAGGGGATTTTCTTGATGCTGGTGAAGAGCTCTTGATCCAAGGATTTAGCCCTCTACAAGTTTATTGTTTCCCCCTCCTATATATAATAATAATAATAATAATAATTCATTTTATAAATTTCACATTGTTAGCAGTAAATTATGCTGTATGATCCTGCAGGTTTAGTGCTTCCCCATGATAATAATAATAATTATAATAATAGCAATAAATTAGAAGCATTGTTCAGAAAATATTAATTCCTTAAAACACATTACAGTATTTACACATAGTAACGATGGAATACAAACTCCCGAGTACCGTCATAGAAGCTAAGACGTTGTGTAGTTTTAAAAATAGGTTGGATAAATACATGAGTGGGTGTGAGTTGGACCTGACTAGCTTGTGCTACTAGGTCGTATGCCATGCTCTTTCTTAAGCTACGTATCTGACCTCACTAGGTCAAGGCATTGGCTTAAGCTGGTGCGAGAATTGGACCTGCCTCGCATGGGCCAGTAGGCCTGTTGCAGTGTTCCTTCTTTCTTATGTTCTTAAAGTTAATTAAATTGCCGTTACCAAAGTAAAATTTTTACATTGTCATAATTTGATATACAGTGGAACCTCAAATATCGAACTTTCTTCGGTCTAGAAGGCTGTTCCAGTGCCACTACCAAACAAATTTATTCCCATCAGGAATGATGTAAATTAGATTAGACCATTTAAGACCCTCAAAAATACACTAATAAAAGCACTTACAAAAATACACTTACATAATTGGTTGAGTTGGGAGCAGTTCAATTTTTGAGATTCCACTGTACTGTAATTTAGTGTATAAATGTTAATAATGTATCGTAGAGTGTAAGTGTGTTTCTAATTTGTTTTTCTTGTTATTAACACATCAACCATTTCCAACCAAATTTGTGTGGCCCAAAAAGAAAAACTTTCACCATCATTCACTCCATCATTGTCTTGCCAGAGGCGTGGTTACACTACAGTTATAAAACTGTGACATTAACATCCCTCCTTCAGAGTGTAGACACTCTACTTTTAATTATTTTTGTATAAAATCAGAGTAACCGAGAGAAGGAGAGGGTGGATTAGACCTGACTAAGGTTAGTAGACCTAGTGTAGTTCACCTCTGTTATACTGGTGCTCCTAGACTTACAATGGGGTTATGTTTCTTCGAATCCATCATAAGCTGAAAACATTGTAAGTCAGTTATGAATACAGTGGAACCTGGGTTTTCGTATGCCCTAGTTATTCTCCACAAAATGTATTTTTTGCTAATATTTTTGGGTGTCTGGAACGGATTAATTGGATTTACATTATTTCTTATGGGAAATATTAACAAAAAAATACGTGCTTGGTTCCAACCAACCGGTCGTAAGTCAAAATGGATGCAAGTCGAACCTTATGCTTTTAGTACTGTATTTTATACTGTAAGGTTTAGGACAGTTTATTTGCATACAAAACATTCATATGCATGAAAACATATGAAAACATTCGTATGCATGAACAGAAAAGTACAAAATAACTTAAGCTAAGCTGTAAACAGTACGGTCATAAGTACGAGTGGTCGTATGTCAAGCAGGTCATAAATCGGATGGTACTTGTAATCAGTGTGTAAATCAATGTAAGGTAATTATTTAAAGTTTCATCTCCAAAGTAATTGCTGCGGCACCATTGTATAATCGAAATATCATAAGTTGAATCATCAAAAGTCGAGGACCACCTGTAGTATGCATTTACATTTTTGTTATTTCTGGATACCTTATTAATGAATGGTTATTTTTCTTCAGCGCAAGAATAGTTCAGATGGTGAGACTATGCCCAAGAAGAAGAGGAACCTGTTGATGTTAGACGAGAAGGTGAGGATGTTGGACTTTCTGGCTCGTGGCGACTCGAATACCTCAGTGGCCAGAAGATTTGGTATTAACTCATCAACATTGCAATCCATTAAGAAGTGTGAGAAGAAGATTAGGGATAATGTGAAGAGTAGTAGTGCAGTGGGTGCCAAAATGATCAAAAGTGTTCGTAATCCCAACCTAGTGAAGATGGAGACTCACCTTAATGTCTGGATTGAGGACATGCATCAAAGAAATATAACATTTGACCGCTCCACCATACGTAAGAAAGCCAGTACAATATATGAGAGTCTTGTATCATCCAGTGGGGAAGATAGTAATGCACCCTTCTTTGTTGCTAGTAGTGGCTGGTTTTTAAAGTTTATGAAAAGGTATGGTCTGCATGATATTAATATCACGGGAGAGACTGCATATCTTAATGCAGCTCAGAACTATGTTTCTGAATTTAAGCAGATCGTAGAAGAGGGGAAATACCTGCCAGAGCAGGTGTTTAATGCTGACGAGATGACCCTCTTCTGGAAGAGGATGCCAGGACGAACTTACATCTCCAAGAATGAAAAATGTGCTCCTGGTTTTAAGGCAGCTAAAGACAGGTTGACTGTCCTCCTCTGTACCAATGCTAAGGGAGACTGTATAATCATGCCAATGTTACTCTACCACTCTTTTAACCCCCGGGCACTTAAAAACAGAGATAAGGATAATATGTCAGTTTTCTGGAGGTTCAATACAAACTCCTGGCTCAATAGACATATTTTTAGGGAATGGTTTCACCAATGCTTTGTACCTGGAGTCGAGGGCTATCTCAAGTCCAAGCAGTTGCCTTTTAAAGCCTTACTGCTCCTAGACAATGCTCCTACCCACCCACGTGACTTAACTCACTCATATCCTAACATCAAGGTAGAGTTCTTGCCTCCTCAGATGGCTCCTATACTTCAGCCTTTAAATCAAGGGGTTATTGAAGCATTTAAGAGGTATTACACAATATGCACTTTCCGCCGTATTTTCAGTAGCATCGAAAGAGATCCAGAAAAGGACTTGGACAAGTGTTGGAAGGAATATAATATTGCACACTGTATTGAAAATGTCAGGGAGGCAATTGATGAGGTCACAGAATCTACCATCAATGCCTGTTGGAAGAAGTTGTGGAGCGAAGCGGTGAATGACTTCAGCATGTTACCCGATGTTGAGGAGGAGGTGAGAAGAATTCTTAGGCTGGCTCGGCAATTTGGAGGTGAAGGTTTTGTTGACATGAAGCAGACAGAGGTGGAAGAACTACTTGCTTCTCACAACGCTCAGCTGACGAATGAGGAAGTTGAAGAGATGCTAAAGGATGATGAGACAGATAAGAATGACCCTGTTGATTCCAGCACAAGCAAATTGAATCTGAAAAACTTGTCGCAGCTGAAGGCAGACATAACATCAGTGATCGAGAGATATTCTGCACTGGATCCTGTGAAGGAGCGAAGCACGAAGTTCAAGAGAGGACTAGAGGAATTGTTCGAACCTTATAACAAACTCCATCAGTCCCAGCTTTCGTGCAAGCCTGCGATCGACTCACGTTTTTTTAAAGTTGAATCATCGTCCACAGGAATGACCACTTCCAACACCATCGAAGAAACATCTGCAGCTACCTGTGAAATACCTGTGACTACAGAAGTAACTACAATGGCCAACAACAAACAAACAACTGCAGAAAATCCCAACAAAGCAACAACTGCAGCTGCCAGTACCACCAACAAAACTACAGCTGAAACCACCACCAAAGCAACAACTGCACCTGCAACCACCACCACCAAATCAACACCAGTACCTGCAACCACCACCACCAAATCAACAACTGCAGCTGTAACCACCACCACCAAATCAACACCTGCACCTACAACCACCACTAACGTAACTGCACCTGCAACCACCACTAACAAATCAACAACTATAGCTGAAACCACCACCAAAAATCAACATCTACAGCCACCCCACCAAAGCAACACTGCACCTGCAACACCACCACCAATCAAAACCAGTACCTGCAACCACCACCACCAAATCAACACCAGTACCTGCAACCACCACCACCAAATCAACACCAGTACCTGCAACCACCACCACCACCAAATCAACACCAGTACCTGCAACCACCACCACCACAAATCAACACCAGTACCTGCAACCACCACCACCAAATCAACACCAGTACCTGCAACCACCACCACCAAATCAACACCAGTACCTGCAAACCACCACCACCAAATCAACACCAGTACCTGCAACCACCACCACCAAATCAACACCTGTACCTGCAACCACCACAAACAAAACAATTGCAGCTATAACCACCACCAAAGTAACAACCACAACCAGCACCAACAAATCACTAACTACAGCTGCCACAACAGCAACCACAGTCACCACCAGAGCAATAACCAGAACCACCACTTTCAACAATACAACAACCACAGCAGCCACCACAGAAAGAGCCACATCGTCCTCCACAAGAAGTCGTCACTAACAAGTTATCCTCCGAGGATCATGAAGAATTAGACTTCTTATGCCACAGGTAAAGTGAATTGAAATGTATTCATAATTAATAATAATAATATTTTTTCCTAGGTAGTAGGTTGGTAAACAGCAACCACCCAGGGAGGTACTACTGTCCTGCCAAGTGAGTGTACAATGAAAACCTGTAATTGTTTTACATGAATTAGGATTGCTGGTGTCTTTTGTCTGTCTCATAAATATGCAAGATTTCAGGTACATCTTGCTACTTCTGCTTACACATAGATCACACTACACATACATGTACAAGCATATATATACACACCCCTCTGGGTATTCTTCTATTTTCTTTCTAGTTCTTGTTCTTGTTTATTTCCTCCTATCTCCATGGGGAAGTGGAACAGAATTCTTCCTCCGTAAGCCATGTGTGTTGTAAGAGGCGACTAAAATGCCGGGAGCAAGGGACTAGTAACCCCTTCTCCCATATAAATTACTAAATTTAAAAGAGAAACTTTCGTTTTTCTTTTTGGGCCACCCTGCCTTGGTGGGATACGGCCGGTGTGTTGAAAGAAAGAAAGAATAATATTTTTTATTTTGACATGATGTGTACAGTGGTACCTCGGGATACGAACTTAATTCGTTCCAGAAGGCTGTTTGAGTGCTGATACCGAATAAATTTATTCCCATAAGGAATAATGTTTATTTTATTTTTTTTTTTATTATCACACTGGCCGATTCCCACCAAGGCAGGGTGGCCCGAAAAAGAAAAACTTTCACCATCATTCACTCCATCACTGTCTTGCCAGAAGGGTGCTTTACACTACAGTTTTTAAACTGCAACATTAACATCACCCTCCATCAGAGGGGTTACAATATTAGGAATAATGATATATTAGATTAATCCATTTTAGACCCAAAAATACACTTACAAAAGCACTTATCGTAAATACAGTTACTTATTGTTGTGTTTTGAGCTGTTCGATCCGAGGACCAGTATTAGTACCTAAGAAAGGTCCACGTAAAAAAAAAATATTTCGCCAAGTTCACATACCGGACACCTGACCAAGCCAGGATTAGACTACGTTATAATATTGCTTAAAAGTAAGTTTATTTATATACATGTACACATTAGTACATTTGGACCCCCGCAAAATAATACGATAAACACTCCGAATGTGACCAATTATGTAAGTGTATTTATGTAGTTGCGTTTGTACATGTATTTTTGAGTGAAAGGACTAATCTACTTACAATATTCCTTATGGGAAACAAACTGACGGTCAGTAATGGCACTGAACATAATTTTGGATGTTGAAAAATAATCATGCCGAAACGGGGTCCACTCGGTACAATTGTCATACATATGACGTGTTGTAAATTATCGCCAGGGTCGACCAAGGAAATATCAGAGAATATGACTTATAGTGGAACCTTGGTCTTGTACTGCCCTGAATTTTGATATGTAAAAACTATATAGTTATTCTCACTGAAAATGCATATGTGTTTGTTAATATTACTAGGGGGGTCTGGAATGGTATTAATGGATTTACATTGTTTCTATGAGAAATATTGCTTCAGTATTTTCTAACAATTCATGTTTTTGTAAGACTTTTTCGAATGGATTAATTGACAAAAAAGAAATTTCCATGTATTTCCATTGGTGGTCCTTATACAAGTGTATTTCCATTGGGGTCCTTATACACTTATGCCATTGGGGTCCTACTACACTACATTCTCATCATTTGGGGTCCTTGTATTTCATTGGTTAGGTAAGATTTGTCAGGAAACAGGACAAGCGTTTCCTGACGCAGGTCTTAGACGATAACCCACCTTTGGAGCTTTTGGTCATCTGACCGAGGCCTTCTGCTGGCTTACCAGTCCACCTCTTTAAAAATTACAGTCATAGTTAAAACCATTTATATATATTTCATTGGGGTGTCTGTATCCATTGGGAAAACATTTCTCTTTAGCAGATCTTTTGATATCATTAATCATAGTCTTTATTTTTTCATTATTATTATCCTGTTTATAGGTTGATGTGCGGGTGTTTGTGAATTTATTGAAAGAACAAGTATTCCATAGTAACAAAAACCCAAATTAGCATTATTGTTAAATGAGTTTCATTAATAGACCCCTGGCTGTCTTAAGAAGGCACTGGACAGGCACCTAAAGTCAGTACCTGACCAGCCGGGCTGTGGTTTGTACGTCGGGTTGCGTGCAGCCAACAGTAACAGCCTGGTTGATCAGGCTCTGATCCACCATGAGGCCTGGTCACAGACCGGGCTGTGGGGGCGTTGACCCCTGGAACCCTCTCCAGGTAAACTCCAGATCTTGCCACTAGATGGCACTATGTTAAATTAAATTTTTTTATCTGCCACATTTCAAATTTCTGTCTTTATTTCTTACAGAGAGAATCACAGATCATCCGGAACTTCTACATAACACTTGCAAGATAGTGAGGTTTCCTGTGGCTCAGCACCAACGGTCTGTTGCAGGAAATAGTTTATGTACTTGCTAAAAGTTTTTGACCCTCCTGGTGGGAATCCTCGTACAATATTTTAAAAGGAAGAACTGGCGACTCGCGGCTCAGTGGCAGCACCTTCGGGTTATAACCAAAGGTTCTGCGTTTGATCCTGGGCAGGGTAAGACATATGAGCAGGTTTCCTTGCACTTCTTGTCCTTATTCACTTAACAGCAAGTAGGTACCTGTATTCATTAATAGCAAGTAGGTACCCTTATTCACTTTAAAGCAAGTAGGTACCCTTATTTACTTAACAGCAAGTAGATACCCTTACTCACTTAATAGCAAGTAGGTACCCTTACTCACTTAACAGCAAGTAGGTACCCTTATTCACTTAACAGCAGGTAGATACCCTTACTCACTTAACAGCAAGTAGGTACCCTTATTCACTTAACAGCAAGTAGGTACCCTTATTCACTTAACAGCAAGTAGGTACCCTTATTCACTTAACAGCAAGTAGATACCCTTACTCAATAGCAAGTAGGTACCCTTATTCACTTAACAGCAAATAGGTACCCTTATTCACGTTAACAGTTATTTACCCTTACACACTTAACAGCAAGTAGTACCCTTTATGTCCTTAGCAGTAGCTAACCCTTACTCAACAGCAAGTGCGTACCACTATTATTCACACCTTAACAGTAAATAGGTACCCTTATTCACTAACAGCAGGTAGGTTACCCTTATATCCCTTAACAGCAGTAGTAGTCCTTATTCACTTTTTTACAGCAGGTAGGTAACCTTTCTCTTACAGCAATAGTACCCTTATATCACTTCAGCAGGTAGGTACCGGGGTGTGAAAGAAGACATATATTTTTATTTATGACATTGAAAGAAGTGTCTCATTTTATGTGTCTCTTCACTCGTGGTGAAACCTTACCTATTAATGTCATAATTGTATATACAGTGGACCCCCGCATAACTATTACCTCCGAATGCGACCAATTATGTAAGTGTATTTATGTAAGTGCGTTTGTACGTGTATGTTTGGGAGTCTGAAATGGACTAATCTACTTCACAATATTCCTTATGGGAACAAATTCGGTCAGTACTGGCACCTGAACATACTTCTGGAGTGAAAAAATATCGTTAACCAGGGGGTCCACTGTATAGGTGCTCTTTGACTTACGATGGTTCGACTTACAATATTTCAATTTTACCTTGGTACTAAAGCAATTACTTTGGAGATGCAACTTGGAGGTAATTACCCAGTATGATTTACTTTTAGGTACTGGTATTTAGTTTGTTACGGTAATTATTTACATATTCAGTGAAGATAATTATTTATTTTCTTATTTAGGATATCATTATTTTTTGAATTACGATATTTGTAACTTATGATGGGTTTGTCAGAACGCAACCCCATCGTGAGTCAAGGACCACCTGTGTGTGTCACCAGTATCCTGCCAGTATCTCCATGCCTTGTACAACCAGGTACCTGAGTGTCAGCCAACTGTTGTATATACACCCTTAACTCTACATAAATGTCTTTCCACGCCTTGTTGGTGTTACCATTTATGTCCTGTCGTGGGTAATATTGTGGGAGGTTATACAGCCGAGCATTGAAAGAGCTGATGTCAGGTAACAAACCAAACATTTTATACCTTGCGCAGTATACACAATGTAGTTTACATGCAATAAAATATTGTTAGACACAAAAGAAAGCTGCTGACATGAGGTGCATTTCTGGCAGCTCTTACTTTAAAAATTCAGTGGTGTAAACAAATAAAAATGAGAAATAACTTGTACTCGGGGTGGCAGCTTACGAGGTTTTTAAGTGAGGCTTACTTGTGATTTGTTCCTGCCATGGTATTGTAACCACATTTTGTGTAAAAATAACATGTGTATGGAGTCGTCATCTCAGCAGCTAGTACTGAGATTACTTCCTCAACAGTTGGGCTTGTTAATAATAACTCACAAATAAGCCAAACTTTAAAGAAACTTGATATGACCTCTTAGGCCATGCTGGAACATTATAATATCAACAGTGACTTAATAATGATTTGAGATGAACTTGAACTTCATCTAAAGTTCAGTTTGAAGGCTATTTGTGAATTGGTCCACCTGGGCTGTGGTTTGTACATCAGTTTACGTGTGGCCAGCATCTGGTTGATCAGTCCCTGATCCACCACGAGGCCTGGTCATGGACCGGGTCATGGGAGCGATGACCCCTGAAGCCTCTCCAGGTATACAGTGCTAATGTTATCTAGCAAAGAAAAATCTTTATAAGACGGAAATTTTGTACAAACATTTAAAAATAAATTAATTAAGGTTACCAACTATAACATATATTTTAAACTTTTTTATATTTTTATATTGTCCAAAACTTTCATGTTTAAAATAAATATATTGTACAGGTTCACATCCCTTTATCCGAAATTCTGAAATTCAAAAAGTTCCTAAAACTGAAGTTTTTTCGTGGAGTGTGGAGCGTCGGTCATCTCAGTGCTGGGTCACGCCGCCACATAGTGGCGTTGACAATCATTCTGAAATTCAAAACAATACAGGCCCCAAGGGTTTTGGATAAAGGGATGAGGACCAATTTATGTAATACACCTACCATCTGACTTACGACCTGCTCGACTTACGACCACTTGACTTACGACCGTGTTTTTTATGCCAAATTTCTGGGAAATAAACAAGTATTTGTGTTGTAATAAAGTTGGTAGAATTACCGACAATATGTAAAGTAAAAGGACACAAGTGCAACTAATGTGACATTTTATTGTGGCAATGTTTCGCTCTCCAGGAGCTTTATCAAAGCTTGACAAAGCTCCTGGAGAGCGAAACGTTGCCACAATAAAATGTCACATTAGTTACACTTGTGTCCTTTTACTTTACAAGTATTTATGTTGCACACAGTGTTTATGCTAAACCTTACAGTATAAAACACAGTACTAACAACATAAAAAGTAAAGTAAAACATGAAATACCAAAATAAAACAATAAAATAAAGTCATTACAAAAATGTTTTGTTGATATTCAGTAGTAAAGTTCGACTTAAGATAAGATAAGATAAGATTTCGTTCAGATTTTTAACCCAGGAGGGTTAGCCACCCAGGATAACCCAAGAAAGTCAGTGCGTCATCGAGGACTGTCTAACTTATTTCCATTGGGGTCCTTAATCTTGTCCCCCAGGATGCCACCCACACCAGTCGACTAACACCTAGGTACCTATTTGCTGCTAGGTGAACAGGACAATAGGTGTAAGGAAACGTGTCGAAATGTTTCCACCCGCCGGGAATCGAACCCGGGCCCTCCGTGTGTGAAGCGGGAGCTTTAGCCACCAGGCCACCGGGCCACCGGACTTACGACCATTTCGACTTACGACCGGTTTCTCGGAACCGAACTCGGTTGTAAGTCGGATGGTAGGTGTACATAGTAACTAATTAAAACTAGATAAGATAATAGTACATAGTAATTATACTTAATAAACATGGAATAGTGGTTAGTTGTTTTATAGTCTTATTTAGACTTAATAAATCTCATGTAAACTTAATACAAAATCTAATTTAAAAGTGATGGTGCAGGTGGTAATATTTTATGGATTGGTAGAATTAAAAGTCAGGAGGTCACATGATAAGACTAATTAGCAGATGTTTTGGCAGATTTGGTTAATATTGAGAAACAAAATGATTTTATGGAATGGCAGAACTAAGAGCCTAGAGGTCACATGATAGTAGATGTTTGGTTGATTTGGTTAATATTGTGAGATAAGATGATTTTTTAGCAGAGTCCTAAATTTATAAGTTGTCTGGGGATCCTTGACCAGTTCCGGTAGCGAGTTCCAGATCTTCGGACCTTTTATGTGCATAGCGTTCTTGCATAGTGAGAGTCTGACTCGGGGGATGTTGAAAGCCCCTTAGCCTTGTATTGGTCTGTGCATTTTTGAAATTTGTCGGTATTTTGGGGGGGGTTTACAGTGGGTTTAAAGTTCTGTATAGTAGTAGCACAAATAAGAGTGATGCTTGTATTTTTAGCAAGTTGAGTCTCGAAAATTTGGGTGGGGTTGCTGTCTAGCCCAGGGCGCTTTCCCCCAGCAGTTTTTTTGTTGGATTAAAAGGGGGTCAAAGGGGGTTGGGCTGTGGTTGAGGCCCAGGCACAGATACCAAAAGGTGAGGCAAGTATTTTAGAGAGGGGTACAGGGTAAGGAGATCATTTGTGGTACTAGGCTTTCTTGGGGGGGATTCCTACTGATTTGAAATTTTTTGGGCATGTGAGGGAGGGACTGAAATTTAAGTTTTCAGTCAAGGAGAAGACCTAGAAATTTCCCCTCGTTGTCTTGATATAGAGGAACCTTTAACATGTGTTGATTAAATTTGGTGGGTTTGGAACTTTTAAAACTGGGGGTACCGTACAGTGTGCCCTGAAGGAAGGATGTCATCAAATTGGTATCAGCACATTTCGGCAAAACAGAGTTTGAATGAATAAAGGGAAAATGCGTTTATTTCTTTGGGTCACCGTCCTTGGCAGACATAGCCGTTAAAATTAAAAAAATAATGTAGATTTTAACCCCTTCGGGGTCCAAGGCCAAAATTAAAGTGGGCCCCATGCCAAAAATTTTAAAAAAAAAAAATTGTTTTTTTTTCTTAGAAATGGTAGAGAACTTTTTGTGAAGTAATAAAACAAAAAAACAAAATTTGAGGGAAAAATTACAAAAATTACTCTCGTGAATTTTTTGATGTGTCACGATTTTTACAAATCGGCGATTTTGCCAAACTTTACCCCCTTTTGGCCAATTACATTTTTCCATCGACCAAATTCCAGCATTTCACTAGTTTTACTTTATCTATCGATTGGCCAAGAAATCGCCAATCAATGTTTAAACTCAAAAAAAAGTGACCGGAAAATTTGGAAATTTTGGGCCAATTTAACCCAAAAAGTTCAAAATTTTCCAAATTTTCAAAATGGGGTCCAAAAAAAAAAATGTGGGTATTCCTGGCACTAAACTAACTTTCCTCTTTCATTAGTTATGTTTTGGGCTTTACAAATAATTCCATTTTTGATTTTTATTAACATAATGAATTTTTTTTCCACCAAAAAAAAAGAAGATTTACTTTAGCAAAAATTTTAATAATGTATAAATACATCACCAATTTTTGAAGTTTATTTGACCCCCCAGGGCTGTATTAGACGTGTGAGGCGTTTCTTTTTTCTTTAATATCGGCAAAAATTTAAAAATTTTCCGCCATTTGAGCTCAATTTCAAACCTTTCCAGGCTAAAACCAATCAAAATTAAAATCTATTTCTGTAATATGCTTCCATTCATCAAATGAGACCAAAAAAATCACAAAACAACTATAAAAAAAAACGAAAAAACCGCAAAGTCGCTGTTTTAATCGAAAAACATGGGCCCCCATTTTTTTTTCTCTCATTATACACAGTGGGCAGGATTGTTTTTATGTGGTGCACACATACCCCATAGAGTTTCTTCATACAGGGCCCCAAAATTTTCCCCCACAAAAATTTTCAGGTGACTGAGCTCAGAGTAATCTACGGTTTGGACCCGAACGTAACCGTAGTCTACTGAACAAACCCCCAAAAAAACCTTCAAAAACAAAACCCAAGATCTCGGTGCGGACGATTATAATTTAAATATATCATGTGCGGGCGATTATGTACAGTATAGCTGTGCGGGATTTTACAGTATAGTCGTGGAGCAATATTTACAGTAAGTCATGTGCAACAAAAGTACGTATAGTCCCGTGCGAAAAATATGTCAGTTATATGTGCGTGCAGATATATGACAGTATAGTCATGTGGTGACAGATATATTACAGTTAGTCATGTGGGACAGATATTGTACATATAGTCATGTGCGGGGCAGATTAGTCATATAGTTGGCGGACAGATATATTTTCAGTATATCATGTCAGACAATATGTAAAATATAGTCAGTGCAGACAGATATTGTACAGTATAGTCAGTGCGGAAAAAGATTACTTTTACAGTATAGTCAGTCGGACAATATAAAGTCATATGTCATGGCGGCAGAATAGTACAGTAAGTCTTTTCGGAAGAAAAAACAGTTGTCTGTGCGGACAGATATATGTACAGTATAGTATGGCGTGACGATTTGTAATATAGTCATGTCGTGACAGTTATGTACAGTATAGTCATGTGCTGACAGATTTTGACAGTTGTCATGTGCGGGACGAATAAAATTTACAGTAAATCATGTGGAGACAGAAATATGTACAGTTAGTCATGTGCGTGGGCAGAAAATTAAAATAGTATTGGGGAGACAATATAGTACAGTAAGTCATGTGTTAAGAAAATTTTACAGTATAGTCATGGCGTGACAGATATATGAAAAGTATAGTCATGTGCGGACGATAAGTACATATAGCATGTCAGAATATGTACAGATAGCATGTGCGTGACAGTATTGTACAAAAATATGTGCTACAGAATTGACAGTATATCATGTGCGTGAAGATATATTACAGAAAACAGTGCGTGACAGATTATGTACATTGGGGCATGTGTAAGGGCACAGACTTAACTACAGTATATGATGAGACTTTGCTGTACAAAACAATTTTTTTTTTTTGTAAAACTACCTAGGTATAAACCCAAGGGTTAGTCCTTTGTTCGATTGTAAAAAAAAAAATTTTAAAAAAAAATAAAAATAATAAAAAATAATAATAAAAAAAAAATACCTATTACTTGTACATTTTAAAAACTTATTTTTCACAAAACAAGTACGCACTAGGGTACTGGGCCCATGTTAGATAGGCCAGGGGGCTTATGAGTTATTTACTTCAGTTTCAGCACTGTATAACCCTTTCATGTTTAGTGCTTAATTTGATTATAGCATTATTATTATTTGTTTCGCTAATGTTATTTGGAGTTTAACAACATTGGTCATCTCCCACTGAGGTTGTGTGACCTGAAAAAGAAAGACCTTCACCATCACTCGCACTGTCACTGTCTTGCCAGTGGCACACAGATACGACAGTTTAGATGTCCCTCTGAACAGTAAATTTCCCAAATCCCTTCTTTAGATCTAAGTGCAGGCACTGTACCTCCCACCACAGGACTCAAATCTGACTAACTAGTTTCTCTGAATCCCTTCGCAAAATGTTAATGCGTTTGTACTCCAACAGCTCATCAAGTCCCAAAACTATTTGTCTCCACTCCTATCTAACATGCTTATACATGCCTGCTGTATGTCCAAGCCCCTCACACATAAAACCTCTTTTATCCCCTCCATCCTTTCTTAGGACAACCACTACTCCTCCTTCTCCCCCCCCCCCCCACTATAGATTTATACATCCTCTAAGCCATCCTATTTTGCTACATTCTCTCTAAGTGGCCAAACCACCTCAACAACCCCTCCTCAGCCCTCAGAATAATACTTTTAGTAATGCCACGCTATGAATTCTCTGCATATTTACACCACACATTGCCCTTAGACAAGACATCTCCACTGCCTCCAGCCTCCTCGCTGCAGCATATGTATATGCACCCCAAACTGATAATACTAACAATGTCTCTCTCCAGCCTAGGAATTCACACACTGAGATTTTTGGATTCAATACTCATACACGAGAAAACATCATGAGACAGCCATCACACAGAAACAAGGTAACATTTAACTGACTAAACCTGTAACTATATAGATAATATATGTACCAGGTATACTACCAAGAACTACCATCCACTACTCAACATGTCTCAAGATCTAGTGTGATTATTATAATCATAATAAAGTGAATACAGGAAAGAGTAAGGTTATGAGGATAACAAAAAGATTAGGTGATGAAAGATTGGATATCAGATTGGAGGGAGAGAGTATGGAGGAGGTGAATGTATTCAGATATTTGGGAGTGGACGTGTCAGCGGATGGGTCTATGAAAGATGAGGTGAATCATAGAATTGATGAGGGGAAAAGGGTGAGTGGTGCACTTAGGAGTCTGTGGAGACAAAGAACTTTGTCCTTGGAGGCAAAGAGGGGAATGTATGAGAGTATAGTTTTAACCAACGCTCTTAATGGGTGTGAAGCACGGGTGATGAATGTTGAGGCAGGAGAAGGCTGGAGGCAGTGGAGATGTCATGTCTGAGAGCAATGTGTGGTGTGAATATAATGCAGAGAATTCGTAGTTTGGAAGTTAGGAGGAGGTGCGGGATATACCAAAACTGTTGTCCAGAGGGTTGAGGAAGGGTTGTTGAGGTGGTTCGGACATGTGGAGAGAATGGAGCGAAACAGAATAACTTCAAGACTGTATCAGTCTGTAGTGGAAGGAAGGCGGGGTAGGGGTCGGCCTAGGAAAGGTTGGAGGGAGGGGTAAAGGAGGTTTTGTGTGCGAGGGGCTTGGACTTTCCAGCAGGCATGCGTGAGCGAGTTGATAGGAGTGAATGGAGACAAATGGTTTTTAATACTTGACGTGCTGTTGGAGTGTGAGCAAAGTAACATTTATGAAGGGGTTCAGGGAAACCGGCAGGCCGGACTTGAGTCCTGGAGATGGGAAGTACAGTGCCTGCACTCTGAAGGAGGGGTGTTAATGTTGCAGTTTAAAAACTGTAGTGTAAAGCACCCTTCTGGCAAGACAGTGATGGAGTGAATGATGGTGAAAGTTTTTCTTTTTCGGGCCACCCTGCCTTGGTGGGAATCGGCCAGTGTGATAATAAAAAAAATAAAAATAAAGTGATAAACCCACAGGGGCCATACAGCACTGCAGGGTAGGGCATGATAAGGGTGTAATATCCTGGATCAGAAACTAGCGAGGGTGGAGAATATAACAGGTAGAATTAGTAAGTTTGGTGACGAGTGTTAAAATTATGTCAGCATGACAATGTTTGAACAAATCCCTCAAGGGAGGTCCCTTGATGCTGATGAAGGACTCTTGATCTAGGGAATTGGACTGTGCTCTAGTTCCCTGAATTAAGGCTGAATACCTTCCACATCTCCCCCACAGGCGCTGTATAATCCTACGGATTTAGCGCTTTCCCCTTGATTATACAGTGGACCCCCGCTTAACGATCACCTCCAAATGCGACCAATTATGTAAGTGTATTTATGTAAGTGCGTTTGTACGTATATGTTTGGGGGTCTGAAATGGACTAATCTACTTCACAATATTCCTTATGGGAAAAAATTCGGTCAGTACTGGCACCTGAACATACTTCTGGAATGAAAAAAGTTCGTTAACCGGGGGTCCACTGTAATAATGTTTGTACAGAAATGAGTGATATTTAGGTTATTATTATCATGGGGGAGTGCTAAACCTGTATGTTATACAGCACCTGGGGGGTGGATGGAAGGCATTCAGGAAACTGGAGCACAGATCTAATTCCCTAGAATTAAGAATTAATCTAAGTCTGCTCGAAATGCCTAGCCATGCTAGGTGTCCTAGTGGCGCCCTCTGTAATTACTATTTTATAACGTGTAAACCACAAAATACCCCAAACCTGTAAACCCCACATTGTAACCCTTTTTTTTTTTTTTTTTTTAACAAGTCGGCCGTCTCCCACCGAGGCAGGGTGACCCACCGAGGAAGGGTGACCCACCGAGGCGGGGTGACCCACCGAGGCGGGGTGACCCACCGAGGCAGGGTGACCCACCGAGGCAGGGTGACCCACCGAGGCAGGGTGACCCACCGAGGCAGGGTGACCCAAAAAGAAAGAAAATACTTTCATCATCATTCAACACTTTCACCACACTCACACATAATCACTGTTTTTGCAGAGGTGCTCAGAATACAACAGTTTAGAAGCATATACGTATAAAGATACACAACATATCCCTCCAAACTGCTAATATAGAGAATAAACTTGAATTGAATTGAATAGATCAAAAGCCCCTCACCAGCATCAAGGAACCTCTCTTGAGGGGGACATTAAGTGTACATGCAGAAAGCCCCTTAGTATACAGAGTATTCTGGTCATTATTATTATTATTATAATCAAGGGGGAAGCGCTAAACCCGGAGGATTATACAGCGCCTGGGGGGGGGGGATGTAGTATTCTGGTCAAACTTAAGCCTATCTTAGGAAGTATATTATTATTATTATAATCAAGGGGGAAGCGCTAAACCCGGATTATACAGCGCCTGGGGGGGATGTGGAAGGCATTCAGGCTTAATTCGGGGAACTGGAGCACAGATCCAATTCCCTAAATCAAGAGCCCCTCACCAACATCAAGGAACCTTCCTTGAGGGGGCTTAGGAAGTATAATCATCTTCCCTGGCTATAAATTGAACAGCAGCGCTGTATAGCCCTTGTGGCTTAGCGCTTCTTTTTGATTATAATAATAATATAAATTGAACAACCACCAGACTTAGACAGGTCTGCTGTGCAGGTGGAATGCAGTCTTGATGAAGTCTGCAGTTAATGTTTGTATTCATTGACCACAGCTTGGTATTCTCACACAAACTAAGCTAATAATTTTAATTTTATTATAGAGGATAAATCAAACTTAAGATTATGTCATTTATATAAATAAAAGTTAATCAGTGTTTTATTTAACTTATTATATTCTCCTCAAAAAGGGCACCCTGATGACAGCAAAGCATCCAAGGAGTTGAAGCTACCCTTCCTTAGATCAAACCTGATTGGCTCCCAGGTGCTGTATGACCATTACAGATACACAAATGACCTGCACACAGAAGAAAGAATCTAAAATGATGTTTCAATCCGACTCGGACCTTTAACCAGTGTATAAGCAATTAATGATCTAGGTCAGACCAAAACGTCATCATAAACCATACCACGGGTTCAAACCCCACCCGTGGTATGGTTTGTTTGCAATCGTGTCATTACGATTTCGTGAGTCATCATAAATTTCTTTCTCTTAAGTGCGAGTTATTTGTATAATCCAGTCATGGACTTTTTTTTTTTTCTGACCATTATGGACTTTGCTCTTCTCCATCAATGTACTGATATATGAAAATATAGTCTTTTGAGTTGTATTCATGGAGCAGTGCTAAACCCACAAGGACTGTCCAACCCCTAGGCTATGGAAGGTAATCAGTTTTGATCTGGGGAACGTCAGTGGGCAACTACAATTCCTTGGATGAAAAGTCCACTACCAATACTGTGGCACCTCTTATAAGCTGAACAATACTATATATCAAGATGTACATCATAATATATCCAGAAATTGAGCATTGTTCATGATTAACATTAATCATTAAAGTCATGTATAATCATCAATGTTGTACATTTTTGTATAACATATCCATCACAACCAGGATGTGATGGATATGTGGGCTAGCAGGATACCAGTAGTAACAGTCTGCTTGACCAGACAAGCTTGACTGCATAGGAAATTCTCAAAACCCATCAAAGGGAGGTAAAGGTATAGAAGATCATTCACTGAAATTTATGCTCTTTTGAAAGTGATAGTTGAAGTTTAGGTTTCGGTGGTGGTGGCTGCTATAGCTGCTTTGACAGTGTTTGCGGCTGTGGCTGTAGATTATGCTCTGGAGGTGGTGACTGTAGCTTTTGCTTCAGTAGTTGTGGTTGAAGTTATTGATTTGGAGGTGTTGAAAGGGGTGATTGAGGTGCAAGACTTTTTAACTTGATAAAAACGTGGGATGGGCTCCCCTTGGCTGACTGGCGAAGACGTTTATAGAGTTCGTTGTAGGGACGACACAACACCTCCATTCCTTTCTTAAACTCCAAGCTCCGCTGCTTTACTGGATCCATTGCAAAAATTCTATCAGTGATAGAAGTCAGATCATTCCTCAACTCTGACAGATTTTCCAGATTCAGTGTATCTGCTTTGGAATCACTGTTACTGTCTACAATTTCAATCTTCTGCATCTCTTCGACTTCCTCATTCGTCAGCTGAACGTTGTGAGAAGCAAGTAGTTCCTCCACCTCTGTGTGCTTCATGTCAACAAAACCTTCACCTCCAAACTGCCAAGCCAGCCTAAGAATTCTTCTCACCTCCTCCTCAACATCGGGTAACATGCTGAAGTCATTCACCACTTCGCTCCACAACTTCTTCCAACAGGCATTGATGGTAGATTCTGTGACCTCGTCAATTGCCTCCCTGATATTTTCAATACAGTGTGCAATATTATATTCCTTCCAACATTTATCTAAGTCTCCCTCTGGATCACTTTTAACGGCATTCAAAATACGACGGAAAGTGCACATTGTGTAATACCTCTTAAATGCATCAGTTAAAGGCTGAAGTATGGGAACCATCTGAGGAGGCAAGAACTCTACCTTGATGTTAGGATATGAGTGAGTTAAGTCACGTGGGTGGGTAGGAGCATTGTCTAGGAGCAGTAAGGCTTTAAAAGGCAACTGCTTGGACGTCAGATAGCCCTCGACTCCAGGTACAAAGCATTGGTGAAACCATTCCCTAAAAATACATCTGTTGAGCCAGGAGTTTGTATTGAACCTCCAGAAAACTGACATATTATCCTTATCTTTGTTTTTAAGTGCCCGGGGGTTAAAAGAGTGGTAGAGTAACATTGGCATGATTATACAGTCTCCCCTAGCGTTTGCACAGAGGAGGATGGTCAACCTGTCTTTAGATGCCTTAAAGCCAGGAGCACATCTTTCATTCCTAGAGATATATGTCTGTCCTGGCATTTTTTTCCAGAAGAGGGTCATCTCGGCAGCATTAAACACCTGCTCTGGCAGGTATTCCCCCTCTTTTATGATACGCTTGAACTCAATAACATAGTCTGTTTTCACCAACGTCTTGACATTCCTTTTCCTATTAGGCACAGACGCACCGTCATCATTATTCTTGCGCTGAGGAAACGTAATGCTGAGTTAAAAATAAACAGTTTTATTACTCGACAACAGAATGATCATACACAATGGTCTAAGGTGAAACACTTGTCATCAAAAGCATTTAAGGCAAAAATAATAAATCAGTACAGTGCCTACACTCAAAACAAGAGATTGGGGATATTCGCTGTTTAGAGGAACGTCTAAACTGTCGTATCTGGGCACCACTGGCAAGACAGTGATAGGTGTGATAAAAAAAAAATAATTTAGCATTTTATAATTCTTTTGGGTTTAACACTTAGTTTTGATGATAATAAATAATAAGTATAATAATAAGTAATAATAAAAATGATGTGATAATATAAATATATTAATAATATAAATAATAATAATATTGAAGTAGGGACATCATAGTTGGAGAGTAATCTGAACTGTGACATCGGTAAGTAAGTTTAGTTAGGTAAAGGTATACATAAGTACAAATATACACAGTAAATTACCCCGATTTAACCCAAATTTACACTGTATGATAACTGTACTTACGGGAAGACAACAGACAGTGAATATAAGATGGTGTGATGTGTTGCTTGCTGGGTCACTCTACCATGGCAGGAGACAACCTGGAGGGTGTATACCTGGAGGATGTATACTTGGAGGGTGTATACCTGGAGTATACCTGTAGGGTGTATACCTGGAGGGTGTTCTGGGGGTTAATGCCCCCATGGCCCAGTCCATGGCCAGTTTTAAAAAAAAAAAAAATCTCACCTTGAGAGTTTTACACCTGAAGTGTGTAGATTCATCCTCCAGTTTTAGAGCTGGAGTCACTGGAAGCACAGTCTTCCTCGAGGGACTCGACCCCCTGACTTTAGAGGCAGGAATTACGTGCATTGCTGCCTGGTCGTTCCGGATACTTGTCTTCGGTGGTTGTTCGTTATGGGGAGTGCCCACTCAGTCTGTTGAGAGATTGCTAAATTACAATTGGAGGTATTATTTTATTTGCAAGTTTATTTAGGTACAGGTACACATATGTATAATTATCATACATAGTAACTATTATAAGATAAGATTTTGTTTGTATTTTTAACCTCGGAGGGTTAATAAGCCAGGATAACCCAAGAAAGTCAGTGGGTCATCCAGGACTGTCTGTCTTATTTCCCTGTTCAGAACATCCACACTTACTACTGTGCAATCTATATCTACAGGACCTTAAATTCCAATATTAACCTTGACCTAAAACGCTTTCTTGATAGTTGTGACAGGACCACAGGCATAACACCAGACACAAACATCTCTATGACATTCCCCGTGTTCGACTAAACCTTTACAAAAATTCAATGTATTTCAAAGGACCTAAAATCTGGAACACCCTACCTGAAAACTCTAGAACTGCAGACACATTCATCACCTTCAAAACTACAGTTAGAAAACATCTTATCTCCCTGATACACCCCGACAACTAACTACATGATAACTACCTGGTGGTTCACAATTACACTCACTCACCCGCTGACTATAAACCCAGAAATACTAATCTTAATCTTAAAATAATGAATCCTAACTAGTCATAAGTTTGCCTATGATACTCCAACACAGACACCTTGTATTGTGCCAAAACAAAAGCATTCACATTGCTAAACTCACAAATTATAATGTAGTCACTTAGCCTTAATACCATAATCTGTAAGGATTTAATGTAGATCAATGGTTCAGAGAACCAACACGTTGATAAATTAGACACATGTGCAACTCTTGGGTATCTTTATTGAGGAAACGTTTCGCCACACAGTGGCTTCATCAGTCCATACAAAGGAGAATCTTGAAGAACAGGAGGAGAATGAGGTAATCAGTCCCTCAACCTTGAGTCGATATGGTCTAATTTATCAACATGTCGGTTCTCTGAACCATTCATCTACAAACCTGTCAGACACTGCAATTTCTTGGGATCTTAATACTTGGGAATTCTTCGCTTGCCTAATTCTTGGGCACGACCTACTTCAACATTGAACAAATGTGGCACCACCTATGACTGCTGCACCTCTCCTACCTACAGCTTATAAGTTCCTTCTCCGCACGTATGCCGTATTCTATTCAAGACTGATGGACTGAACACATCGACTCAAGGTTGAGGGACTGATTACCTCATTCTCCTCCTGTTCTTCAAGATTCTCCTTTGTATGGACTGATGAAGCCACTGTGTGGCAAAACGTTTCCTGGTGGTTAACGCTCTCGCTTCACACGGTGAGGGCCTGGGTTCGATTCCCAGCCAGAGTAGAAACATTGGACGTGTTTCTTTCCACCTGTTGTCTATGTTCCCCATCAGTAAAATGGGTACCTGGGTGTTAGTCGACTGGTGTGGGTCGCATCCTGGGACACTGACCTAAGGAGGCCTGGTCACAGACCGGGCCGCGGGGGCGTTGACCCCCGGAACTCTCTCCAGATAAACTCCAGATAAACCCAAGAGTTAAGAACATAAGAACATAAGAACGAAGGAACACTGCAGAAGGCCTACTGGCCCATGCGAGGCAGGTCCAAGTCTCCTACCGGCTTAAGCCAATGCACCCAACCTAGTCAGGTCAGGTCACATTGACTTAAGGGAGGAACAAAAGAGTTGCACATGTATCTAATTTATCAAGGATTTAATGTTAATCTGTAAGGATTTAATGTTAAGAATTAATCTAATTCTGCTCGAAATGCCTAGCCATGCTAGGTGCCCTAGCGGCCCCCTCTGTAATTAGTATTTTATAACATGTAAACCACACATTGTAACCCTTATAGAGAATAAACTTTGATTTGATTTGATTCGAGTAACACCGTAACAGCGTTACGTTATAATCATGGGGAAGCTCTAAACCCGTAGGATTATACAGCTCCTGTGGGGAGGATGAAAGGCATTCAGGTTTAATTCAGGGAACCGGAGCACAGATCCAATTCCCTAGATCAAGAGCCCTTCAACAAGGAATCTCCCTTAACGGGAACTGCGTTACAGTAACCGCTGTGTAAATCGCTCACCAGCATAACAAAAAAGTCACATAAAGTGACTTATTTCCATTGTGGTCATTGTAATTTATTATTTTTTAAAGTCTATCTGAACCTCACTGGTTCCAAAATATGAGTGTTGAACCTCACTTTTAAACCTGAATTACCACTCATCAACAGGCTCAACATCTCTATTTTCTCTCACACAACATTCATCAATCTCATCTGCAACTTCTGCATCGTGCAACAGCACTTACTTGCAACGTTTCACCCCCCAAAAAACGTATGAAACGTCGAGCGTCTGACGTCAAGTTGGACAGTGTTGTTTGTTGTGGGTTTATAGGGCCACTGAAGGTGCCGCCGTACCAAGTCCTATATGGACACATTACAGAGAATGTATTGTCTACGTTTCGCCCACACACTGGGCTTTATCTAGTCACGAATGAGTCTACAAGGGCAAAGAGCCGTTATTGTGTACGTTTTGCCCACATAGTGGGCTTTATCTAGTCACAAATTGGTCTATATGGGCAAAGTGTATTTACCACTTTTCGCCCACATAGTGGGTTTTATCTAGTCACGAATGAGTCTACAAGGGCAAAGAGTCGTTATTGTCTACGATTCGCCCACACACTGGGCTTTATCTAGTCAAAATGGGTCTACATGGGCAGTGTATTTACCACTTTACGCCCACACAGTGGGCTTGATCTAGTCACAAATGGGTCTATATGGGTAAAGAGTCTTTATTGCCTACGTTTCGCCCACACAGTTCGCTTTATCAAGTTGCGAACAGGTTAATCTACATGAGTAAATTTGCTTGTAACTTGAAAAAGTCTGTGCGAATGTTGGTCATCAAACTTACACCTGTTAACCATATTTATCTTCTGCTGGGCTATAAAAACATCTGGTTATACAATGTAAACCAAGGACCTTAATAGACATCAAGGACCCAATGGAAACCAAGGACACCAACTGAAACCAAGGACCCTAATTGAAACCAAGGACCACAATGGAACCAAGGACCACAATGGAACCAAGGACCACAATGGAACCAAGGACCACAATGGAACCAAGGACCACAATGGAACGAAGGACCACAATGGAACGAAGGACCACAATGGTACCAAGGACCACAATGGAACCAAGGACCACAAAGGAACCAAGGACCACAGTGGAACCAAGGACCACAATGGAACCAAGGACCACAATGGAACCAAGGACCACAGTGGAACCAAGGACCACAATGGAACCAAGGACCACAATGGAACCAAGGACCACAATGGAACCAAGGACCACAATGGTACCAAGGACCACAATGGAACCAAGGACCTCAATGGGCATTAAGGATCCCAGTGGAAACCAAAGACCCAAATGGACACCAAGGACCACAATGCACAATAAGGACCCCAGTAAACACTAAGGACCACAATGGACACCAAGGACAACAGCGGGCACCAAGGGCCACAATAAGCAACAAGGACTCCAATAGACAACAAGGACTTCAATAGACAACAAGGACTCCAATAGACACCAAGGACCACAATGGACACCAAGGACCACAATAGACAACAACAAGAACTGCAGTAGACACCAAGTACCACAATGGACACCAAGGACTACAATGGACACCAAGGATCACAGTTGCTACCAAGGACCCCAATAGACAAGGACCGGTGGCCTGGTGGCTAAAGCTCCCGCTTCACACACGGAGGGCCCGGGTTCGATTCCCGGCGGGTGGAAACATTCCGACACGTTTCCTTACACCTGTTGTCCTGTTCACCTAGCAGCAAATAGGTACCTGGGTGTTAGTCGACTGGTGTGGGTCGCATCCTGGGGGACAAGATTAAGGACCCCAATGGAAATAAGTTAGACAGTCCTCGATGACGCACTGACTTTCTTGGGTTATCCTGGGTGGCTAACCCTCCGGGGTTAAAAATTCCAACGAAATCTTATCTTATCTTATCTTATCTAGACACCAAGGACCACAATGGACACCAGTGACCACAGTGGACACCAAGGACCACAATAAACAACAAGGACCCAGTAGACACCAAGGACCACAATGGGCACCAAGGACCACAATAAACAACAAGGACCCAATAGACACCAAGGACCACAATGGGCACCAAGGACCACAATAAACAACAAGGACCCAATAGACACCAAGGACCACAATGGGCACCAAGGACCACAATAAACAACAAGGACCCAATAGGCACCAAGGACCACAATGGGCACCAAGGACCACAATAAACAACAAGGACCCAGTAGACACCAAGGACCACAATGGGCACCAAGGACCACAATAAACAACAAGGACCCAGTAGACACCAAGGACCACAATGGGCACCAAGGACCACAATAAACAACAAGGACCCAATAGACACCAAGGACCACAATGGGCACCAAGGACCACAATAAACAACAAGGACCCAATAGACACCAAGGACCACAATGGGCACCAAGGACCACAATAAACAACAAGGACCCAATAGGCACCAAGGACCACAATGGGCACCAAGGACCACAATAAACAACAAGGACCCAGTAGACACCAAGGACCACAATGGGCACCAAGGACCACAATAAACAACAAGGACCCAGTAGACACCAAGGACCACAATGGGCACCAAGGACCACAATAAACAACAAGGACCCAATAGACACCAAGGACCACAATGGGCACCAAGGACCACAATAAACAACAAGGATCCAATAGACACCAAGGACCACAATGGGCACCAAGGGCCACAGTGGACGCCAAGGACCACTATATACAACAAGGACTCAATAGACACCAAGAACCACAATAGACAATAAGGACTCTATTGGAAATCAGTCTGACTTTTTTTTATAAGGGGGGGATATCCTGGTGGGTATTTGACATATGTTAAACTATGTGTGATAACTGTACATGTGTGTATTATTATTATTATTATTATTATAATAATAAAAAAGCGCCAAACCTACAAGGGTCATGTGTAGCTGTACCTAAATAAACTTAATTCCTCTCTGAGCACCTGGAACCAGAGCTCAATACGGCGCCATTTATGGCCGCCCTATAATCCCACAACAAATTCAGTTTTCTCATTTTGGGATCATTTTTTTCTCTCCTCTGGACAATATTGTTGTTCTGGGCAGCAGATATTAACTCTTTTTTCTGCATTTGCTGAGTGAAAAGTGACAGGAAGTGGTAGACGTGCCCATACCTCTCACATGCCCGGTATTGAACCCGGGTCTTCCATTGTGAGCTCCACCATAACTACAATTACCAGAATAACATTATTTAGTCAAGATAGTTGTGTTGTGAAGGATAAAAGAGAGTGTGTCTCTGGACACCAAGGTAGCCGTTTTATGGAGGTTCAACGCTGGCGAGAAAGTGTGCGCCGTTGCCTGTCACATCGCAGCGCTGTATAGCCCTTGTGGTTTAGCACTTCTTTTTGATTATAATGATAATAATACCCATCACATTGGATTACCCAAATCAATGGTGCATACCATTATTAAGAACTGCAATAAAAATGCAGAGAGCGAATCGTGCGAATCCCGGCACCGCTGCCAGAATTACCCGCACTCGTAATTTGTTTGTTCCAGAAGTTGAAAATGCAAAGGAGTTCAATTTCCAGGCGAGTAAGGGATGGTTCAACCGATTTAAGAAATGAGGCAACCTGCATAGCTTTGTACTGATAGGCGAAGCCGTGACCGGTGCCGATACTGAAGCTACTATGATATTTGAGTGTGAGTTTAGAAAGATCGTCAACGACGGAGGCTACACACCACCGCAGCAAATTTTCAGTGTTGATGAAACTGGTCTATACTGGAAGCGTTTACCATCACGGACAAACATATGAGGAAATGAGGAAACAACTCCTGGATTAAAGGCATCAAAAGACCGTCTTGAACTACTATCGGGAGGCAACGCAGTGGAGGATTTGAAGTTAAAGCCCATGTTGGTCTACCACTTGAAAACACCCTGGGCCATAAAGAAATTCGAACCTAATTTCCCTATGATCTGGCTGGCCAATAAAATAGCTCGCATAACTAAAAGTATTTTTAAGTATCGGTTTTCAACTTATTTCTGCCCAACGGTTGAAAAATACTGCACTGAGAAAAATCTTCCCCACAAGGCACTGCTGGATAATGCCACGTGTCACCCCAGTACGTTAAGAAAAATTTCCAAACATATCAAGGTTGTGTCCCTAGACAACCACATAATTCATTCGACCAATGGAACAAGGTGTTATTAAGACATTTAAGGTTTGTCATGTGAGGAATGTGTTGTCTAAAGTCATTAGAGACATCAACGGTAAGGATAAACCACCAATCAACGACGCTGTATCTAGAAGAACGGGGAAAACAGCCATTACCCGACTCGGTGCAGTGATCAGAAGATGACTATCATTGGTGAGTTCTCTCTTAATTTCACTGTATTTTGTACAGACATATCTTGTTAATACGGCACTTCGCTTCAGAGCACTTTGCTAATAGGGCACAACTTCATCGTATTTTGGACAGGCATACCTTGTCAATACAGCGCTTCACTTTAGAGCGTTTCACTAGTACGAAGCTTTTCAGTTATGGTGTATTCATGTTTATTATTTTTGGCACTCGCCTTGCTCTTAACCCTTAAATGGTCCAAACGTATATATACGTTTTTTCAACATCTGAAAGTATGTAAAAAAATGTAGATCTTTTTTTTTTTGTTTTACATTTGAAAACGTGTAAAAAAAAACTTTTATCTACATTTTTTTTTTTGTTGGGTTTGAAAATATGTAAAAAAAAAAGTAGATCTACTTTTGTAGCTACGAATTTGAACGTCGATTTGTTTGGACCGTTTAAGGGTTAAGATGGTTTTCAGTAATTATTATTTTTTTTAACTTATTATTTTTACATTTGCATTTTTTTTTAGGCCTAGTGCTATAGCATACTTAATGATAGAGTAAACATGATTTTAGGCTTTAATACGCACTGACAAGTGACAAAAAGGCTGTGATTTGCTTTAAGGTGATACTGGCTTTACGATGATGGTGTGGAACATAATTCGCCATATTAGCAAGATAAGATTTCATTCGTATTTTTAACCCCGGAGGGTTAGCCACCCAGGATAACCCAAGAAAGTCAGTGCGTCATCGAGGACTGTCTAACTTATTTCCATTTGGGTCCTCAATCTTGTCCTCCAGGATGCGACCCACACCAGTCCACTAACACCCAGGTACCTATTTGCTGCTAGGTGAACAGGACAACAGGTGTAAGGAAACAAGTTGAAATGTTTCCACCCGCTGGGAATCGAACCCGGACCCTCCATGTGTGCAGCGAGAACTTTAGCCACCAGGACACCGGACCTGTGCTCTGCTTGCTGGCTCGTGTTCATTCAGTGTTGCAGGTTGTTGGTGTCTGTTAGTTCCAACACATTGTAACC